ATGAGCACAGCCAACCCGGATCCGTGTGATCCCGCCCACAACTCGCTCGCAAACCGTGGCGCCTTGGGGAAGTCCAGTTGAGTTCTTCGGTTTCAAAGTTACTGTGTACAACCTGATTTGTGTCTTTCCGGACGCAGTCTTCCATAGTGCAATGGGGAATTTTTATATAAATATAGTATTATGTGCATAAAAGATGTGCATCAACACGCCGAGCCGGGCATGCATGACATTCACCGTCATTGACGTCGGGATAACGCGGGGCACACCCCGGATCCACCGCACTGGTTCTTCCCTGTATTGTACACTACTGTGTAAATGAGCACTGGTGAGTGCCGTGTGCCATTCACGTGAGACACTCCCCCTCTTATGACTTCCGCCCAGTTTACGCTTTTGGAGGATATTGAACAACTAAACAAGAGAATGGACGGCGTGAGGTCTCTCGTATCCGATGAAGCCCCTCCTCATTCTTAGATCACCAATTAACAATATCAAGCCCGGTAGCAGTTGGTCAAGGCGGGGCTACCTCATTTTCGGTGATTTTCCATCGAATGAGGCCGTCTGGGAGCGTCAATCTCGCTTTACGTCCCCACCGTAAACTAGTGTGAAAGTAGTGCAGTTTGTCACTTATGGACCCTGGAATTCAGATGAACTCCATGAACCTCCATGACCCCAGTCTCAAGCCGTGGTACCCACGTTTTTCCCCCGCCTTGTCTGGGCAAACCACCAGGGAGAAGTTTACGGAGACCCAGTGTGTTGCATGGAGCGCGCGAGATATTCTCGCTTATTCCCCATCCCCTTTTACACTACATAGTAGATGTCTCGTCCATATGTGGCGGTCAGAATTTTGAGACGAGTTCTTCTCTTGCTCGGCATGCTTGTGTGTTGTTTGGATTTTGTGGTTGTTCTTGGACGGATATGACGGACCAACTCTTGGTAGCAATTCACAGATTCCAACATCCACAGCCGTGCGAGAAGGGGAAAACCTTACACAGGTCCGTCCCCACGGGGTTGATATTGAAGTACTAGCGATCTTCTTTAGTCAGTTTGATCGCTAATCAAAGCCACCCATCCCACATTCCTTACACCGCGTCGTGCAACCCAATTGCAGGTGGCCAGAGTACACTAGGCTCTTCGTCTCCTGATAGTCCACCCGGATACGTGCGACTTACACGTCGAAAGAAGTCTTTCTGTAATGAATATTGGTGTAAATTTTGAAGAACAACTAACCATACGAGGTATATATCCCTGTTGTTCATCGTCTTTGTGTTGAGCGTGCGTTTCAACTGTCGAAACGTCGATGGCGAATATTTTGAAAGCAAGGGGGTTGTGTAGGATCAAAAAGTTGTGATTGGGTCACGTCCTTTCTCAGTTCCCCAAAAGGGCAAGCCGTCAGCTTCGTATTGCGCGAAATGGGCGTCAAAGTGATGGTGGTCACGCTGACCTCGACACCATCCATCGATACGAAGTTGCGCTAACTCTGGGCGAACGATGCAACAAAAGACAAGTCCTCTCATTGTCCACACAAGCCGCATTTCGTTATATCCGAGCTAGGGATTCTCTCACCGTCTCTGCTGGACCACATTTCTACCCGGTGTTGTTAGCGACCGGCATTTGACAATTCATGGATTTTCTCTTGTGTTGTCCTGCACGGTTTGCCGTAGGGTTACCTGTAAAGCGTGTAGCATCATTGCATGGGAAAATTTCATGATAGAGATGCCTATCCACAAGCTCGGGAGAACGGACAAACGGGACGATGTCCCAAGGCCACGGGGAAGGCGCGGGGTGCTACGAAGCCCGGGTTGGTGAACACTAACCCCGCCGCTCTTGTTCAGCAGCAGAAGATCGCTTGACTCGTTGGGTTGCCCGTCGATTACTGGCAGTGGTGTCCCACTCACCCAAGGGTAAAAAAATCCCGCCAGTCTCACCAGCCCTGTGTAGCAAGCTAGAGTAGCTAGAGTACCCTAGCAGCCTAGCCAAACTGCACCCCTATCGTCAGCACCAGACCCATCAATTTTTTTCAAGATTTTGTGAGAACCAATGAACACGGAAGTTCGGACGGGGACCTTCATGCCCGACAGTTCGGAAGCCCGGCCGTCTGATGGAGTTCCCTTGTGCAATGGAGCACTCCGCACAGTAACAGTGGCGGGCTAAACACCGGGACCCTGGAAAGTCTGGATAAAATATTGAGCGCTATGTGGGATGCTTGTTGCCCTCCCACACGCCGGTCGTTAGTTTGTATAGTGCCTTCTCGTAACCGCTGTTCGGTGAGTTAAAAGTCCAATATCGCTGGCGCTTGGAAGCACCATATCTAGAGGTAGGTACCCAAATGCAGATGTAAAATATTCCCAGTGTGCTCGCGAGGTTGCATGGAGCTGAACCACATCCTGCGACATATATTTGAACGGAGGGCTTGACCACAGCTGTAGGGATTCGCAAATCGTCATATTGTGTCCAAAGAGGCATGTCTGGCGAATAACGTGTGCGATTGCAGGCTGGGTGGGCAATGGAGGTCGCCTTTTGTCTCTCATCTACCAGCTTGGCGGTAACCTTTGTCGTACGAAGCCGCCGTCGTCACCTGGGATATTATTAGCCATTATGTCAGAACATCGCTTGTTAGCCCCTCAATACCTAGCCTTTGGTGCGCCTGCCCAGCTACGGTGCAGGTAGCGTAGCACTTCCTAAGAGATGGTACGTTCACTTTCACTACCTTTTTTCCTGCCAAGGTGGTTGTGCAATCTGTGTTAAATCTTGATGTGTGTCGATGGTCGGGAAACTTATTTTCGATGTTGGCGTTGGCTTTGCCGTCAGCCTAGTCACTGACGCGATACGATACCTACCTACTGATGAAGCATGGGCAGTTCTCACAGCTGAGGACTGAAAATTGACTCCTCTGCTACTCAAGCCATCCAGATCCAGGATCGTTCAGCCGCCGTCCTGTCTCGGAAGGCGCCAACTGTCTGCCTACGCAGTATATCGAAAAGTGTTCTTGGTATGTTTAGGCGATATATGTAGTTCACAAGGGTCGCCGGTAGTCATCCTGAGATGTCGAGGGGCGAGGAAAAGGCCAATGGAAGGGAGATTTGAGAAAAAGGAATGGTGCCCCCAGATGCAGGTCCTGCAAGCCACAAGATGATGCAAGCCTTTTCAGCCAGCACGTTACACAAGCAAAAGCTTAAAGGCGATCCAGACCAAAGCAAAGACTGCCATCGTCATCCATCATTCTTGGAGTCAGACAGTCTGCCAACAATTCAGTTTAAGGATATGGAATGACGGCAGTTTCATATGCATTTCCTGTTTGATGCTGCCTTTTTGTCTTGCCATGGCTGGAAAGAGGGGCCGGGGTCCTCATGGTTTACCGGTAGTAGCTGCAAATAACACAATGCCATATTCACAGGGGGGAAGGGACAGTTCCTTGAACGATGTGGCAAGGAAGGGGTGAACAATTCAAAGTACATACAATGCATAGGTAGGTAGGTTCCTCTCTCTATCATCTCTACCCTCAGTGACCGTTCAGAGAGCTATTCATTAAGCACAAGCGTATGGTCCTGTCAAGTTGAATATGGGACCGACCGGGAGACGAGCAAAGGTTGTTGATCCCGAAAGGAGTTTAGGTGCCTCGTGCCTGAAGCAAGAGAGGGGATTGGCATTCGTTGCCGTGACCTTAACAAGTGAAATATCATTTTCCACTTCTGCCGCGGACCCTTTTGTGTAATTAATCTTGTAATCCTGCGACGTACCAGGCCGCAGTGACCCAGCTAGCCCATTGTCCAACCTCTCTGCTTTTGTGAAGCGGAAGCAAAAGGGGGATGGAACAAGAGAAAAAGGGAGAACAAGAGGTATGGATGCGCGTGACCAGCGACTGTAAGTACCGGCAGATTTGCATAGGCCGTTAACTGTGAGTAATGAAATTACTCTGTTCATACTAGCTCGGATGAGTTGGCGTAATGTAAGGTAATGGAGGTGAAAGTTTGATGCCTGTTCCGCGCCCATAGAGGGACTCACGCCTGCAGTGTACGGCAGCTTGTCCCTTTGTACACAGTACCTACCTCTAGGGGGTCGGACGATGCGGAGCTTCCACTTTGCTCTGCCCCTGGATTGGCCCGATCTTCACTGTAGTCTCCAGGGCTTGGAGTCCCGTCTCTCACTTGGGCGGCGCTGTGTGCTCTCTGTCGGGCAGTGAGCACCTTGCTGCATGTGTGCTTTGTTAGTTCACCCCGCCGTCAACCGCTGCCCACTGCCGCCGTCAATCCCAACATCAGTCCACTGCATCGGGCACTGCCTGCGTCTGGGCTAAACCGAAAAGACCAGAGAAAACCACCAAAGGCATCCACCACCGCGATACGTACTGTAGGTAGCTTGGACCTCCGGTCTCTCTGGATGAGTGTTGATTTAACTGGCGTTTCGACTTTGGCTTATTACACTACCGATACATGTCCATACTAGTTTCTTTTCTTTGACCGCCCAGGCTTGATCTCTGGTTACATAGGCACAATCATTATTCCCTTGGGCCTTTCCAACTGAACCACTTGCAACTGAACCGACAAGACATCAACGCTCGCTGAAGTGACCTTTTTTTTTTTTTTTGTCACCGTCGCCCTGAGGTTCTTCTCGACCCTGTCGCTCGCTACAACCTTCATTTCGTGTGTCAGTGTGTACGTACATCCGAGGCAAGCTCAAAGGCCCTCTAAAGGCTCACAATCTTTCAAAGGCTACAGCCCACGACGCGTATCCCCCAGGGAAACACCTGTTCGTATTATTGCCCAAAAGATCGCCAAATCGCCTCTCCACCATCCACGAGTCCCCGTCCACCCACGCCATCACCAAATACTTAGTACGATCATCCTCACGCGGTCACGGCCCCCTGTCGACTGTCTGCGCGTGCTCAGCTCCCTGGGCTCCTGGGTCTGCCCATCCATTGCGAATTAGCACTTCTGCGGCCGTCCCCACTTGACTGTCTGTAACGGGGTCCTGTCCGTTCAACACCCACCGGCGCCCTCCCAGTCCTTGCGACTTCGATCCGCTACGGCGCCTTTTTGGTTTTGGAGAGGGGAAGTCAACTACTACAACAGCGCATAAACTCCATCCCTACATATCACAGCTTAAGCCTGACGGCTGTAAGATTCAAGTACGGCATATGCTTGCGACTGCAGCAAGTGGAAGGTGACAGCAGATTCAACCAGGACGGAAGCATAGAGAACAAAGTCTGACGGGCTGCAGCTGTCTGCAGGCATTGCAACTACATACGTACGATTTGACAGTTGACTGCTGTATCAGACGACCCTGATAACCCCCGCCGCCTGTCATGGCGGCTGTCACTGTTTCGCCGGCTGCGTCGCCGACCTCGACAACCACCAGCCCGCGTAGGAAACCTGTTCCTACGACAGGGCTGGCCGCCATTGCCTCCATCGAGCGCTTCGAATGGAATGACAATGCGCCTTCTCTTCCCGGCGTCTCTCTGGCCGAATCGCCTCGGATCCGTGAGTCGCCTATTACGCCCGTGAAGGTTAACTTCCAATCCGACGGCTGGGCTCAACCGTCCAACGCCAATATCGAAACAGACCGGTCGTACGACGGCTTACAGCCGATCTCGGGCGCCCTCGATCGTGCCCTCCCCGCGACCCCAGGTGCTCCGACTCCTCCGCCCCATGCCCTATTAAACGAAGAGCCGAGGCAAGAGACGTATAGCCATTCGGAGGCTCGGAGCACACAGTCAGCATGGAAGGAGTCTGTGAAGCCATTGCCGGGGCTAGAACTGCCCAGTGTGGCCAGGTTGAAGCAAGAAGCCTCTAGCCAAGACGATCTCTCATCCGATTCTTCGCGAGCGAGCCATGGAAGAGTTGCCAATCGTCGAAGTCGAGAGTCCGATACCACCGTTAGTACGTCTAAGAAACCTAACTCGAACAATTCATCTACGGCAACCAGCGCAAGTTCGGTATCTGGCGTCATTGAAGCTTCCGATTGTCCAGACAACTCTGGCGATATCTCTCTTGAGAGCTCCATCCTCGAGGATGGCTCTGCTCGGGCGGAACAGGTGCCCCAGCTCGCCTACCATCATTCTGCTTTCCTGCCGCGGCCGGCTAGCATAGCTGTAGACCAGGACCTAAGAGCTCGGTCAAACTCTAGCCTTGTTGATACCGGTGGTGCCATCAACCGTCACTTGACGCCCAACTCTTTCAACAGACGAAGTTCAGTGCCACGTCCGCAGTCTGCGTATTCGGTGTACTCGGACTTTGGGTCTCGGGGGCACTCCCCTGGTCTACAAAACCGAACACCATCCGCAAATTCTCGAAATTCACCTGATAATCGACCACAGTCTTTTGCCGAGCTTTTGAACGTTCCATATCCCCAACCGGCACCTGCGCCCCTCACACTCGATAACTCCCAGTTACGTAGTGTAGTTGGCACTAATGCTTCTCTTCTCAGCGCCCAGAAAACGTTGGAGATGTACAGGCAGAATGTCAAGAAAACCACGGACTTCTCTACTCAGTATTCCTTCGCTGTTTTTCTGATCAACACAGCAAAGGAGCAGGGCCTGAACTTTGACGAACTCAGGAATTCTAAGAATCTCAAACCTGGGCGATCTTCAGAAACTCTATCCGCAGAAGCCAACCAATCTTCGCCATACGAACTAGTGCGGGAAGCGCGGGCCATCCTACAGAAATTGTCCAACAACGGCTTCCCTTTTGCACAGTATTATCTCGCTGACGGCTATGCCTCCGGTTTGTTCAACAAGGGAAAGGAGGACTACAACTCGGCGTTCCCTCTGTTCGTGTTAGCTGCCAAGCATGGCCACGCAGAGTCCGCTTATCGCACTGCTTTATGCTACGAGTTTGGCTGGGGCTGTCGCAAAGACCCTGCCAAGGCTGTGCAATTCTTGCGAACAGCAGCCTCCAAGCGGCACCCTGGCGCCATGACAAGGCTAGGAAAGGCCTGTCTGTCGGGTGATTTGGGCGAGAAGAGATATAGGGAGGGTGTGAAGTGGCTGAAGCTCGCCACCGAATCCGCCGATGCGATTTATAATGCCGCTCCATATCAGCTTGGATGCCTGTACGAGACAGGCTATGGTGACGACATCTTCAAGGACGAGAGTTATGCGGCTGAGTTGTTCACCCAAGCCGCCGATCTGGGCCATCCCGAAGCCAATTACAGGATGGGCGATGCCTACGAGCACGGGAAGCTCAACTGCCCAAGAGACCCTGCTCTTAGCGTCCACTTCTATACGGGCGCCGCGGAGCGTGGTCATCCTGCTGCTATGATGGGTCTCTGCGCTTGGTACCTGGTTGGAGCAGATCCCATCCTAGAAAAGGACGAAGAGGAGGCATATGAATGGGCCAAGAGGTCCGCAGAGCTTGGTAAGTAAACTCCGACCACTCTGGACATGATGTCGCGGGAAGAATAAATCTAATCCGGACTTGACAGGGTATGTAAAAGCACAATATGCTGTTGGCTACTTCACAGAAATGGGCATAGGATGCCGAAGGGATATCTTGGAAGCCAACCTCTGGTACGTCAAGGCGGCCGAGGCAGGCGATGAGCGCGCCAAGCAGCGGTTGGCAGTCATCCGCGCGGCCGTCAGCGGAGGAACGCCTATGGAGGTCGCTCCGGCTCGAAATGCTAAGATCAAGAAGAGTGCGGAAAAGGATGATAAGGAGTGTATCGTCATGTAAGGGACGGACCTTCATATCATCAGCAGACCAACAAACACCAGACAGAATCCAACGCCTTGCTCACGCTGTTTCGGCGAAGCCGACACGAGCCAGCCTGCCAGGTCGTGATCGAGCGGGTTTGTTTTTTCTTTTTGGATACCCTTAGTCGTCGTCTCTTTTTCGACCTTGCATACCCGCGCGTGGACCTTACCACTCATACAAAGAGTTCTTTTGCTCCTGCTTCAGGGGTTGTCTAATAGACAATGTCTCTACTAGCTATCTTCTCGATTCATGAGTTCAGCTACGTGTCTGGCATCCGACTGCGCCATCGAGTTCAAAATCCCTGAAATCATTGCTTTCTCCCTCATTTTGCGGCGGCGATGGGCAGCTCATAGTGTTTCGGAGATGCAACCCTGATGAAGGAGTTGTTGTGAGTTGTTGAGGAACTTGGTTGTTTCTTCCCTCTCTCTATCTTTGAAGGGTTGACTCTGGCACTCTGGCCGTCACTGCCGAAGATTGACTTTTCCAAAACCTGTTCAGTCTTAACAGCCTGGACGCTGAAACAGTCGGCGTTGTACATTCGTTTTTGATGCATTTGCATGGCCGTCGTTTAAGGAAAGAGAAGTCATGGTCGGAGATACAATACCTTCTCTCGACTCTGTCATTCACGGCGATGTCAAACCTCGGCGTTTCTACAATGGTATGGTGTGTGTACTCTTCATTTTCTGTTGCACCCGGCTGCGGGGTTGTTTGGATTTTGTTCATTCGTTTCGGACTCTCGGCGGGAATGGAAATGGTTCTTGTCTGTCAGTCAGTCAGTCAGTCAGACACAGACCACAGGAACAATGCAGAGAAAGAAAAAAAAGTGACAGAGGGAAGGTGGTGAAAAGTGTCGGTTGGGCCAAGAAATAGGAAAAGGGATTGGGAGTCAAAACGTATAGCACGTCGTCTCTTTGTACATACTGGGACGAGGATACATGGAAGGAGGGAGGAGACAGGTGAAAGCAAGATGGGACTGAGCGGAAGTAGTCCAGCTTGGGAGTTAGGGAGTATGGGAGCATGGGAGCATGGGGAGCAGAGAACGAATGAGAAGTAGAATAATAATATTTCCTGGCTAGTATCAATTTGAACTGTTTATGGTCAGAGCAGGTTATGAGAACGCCTGTAACCTTTATATTGTACTGGCAACCTTCTGCTTGCTTCCAGGCTCCTCGACATGTTTGACTATGTCCCGTTTTTGTGTGAGCAAGGATTGATGAACAATACAATCAGCCCGTTTCAGTGACAGTTCGTTGTAGTATAAGCATCAGGTAATCTGCCGGAAGAATGTCTCCCAGACCTCCTTTATGATACCATACCACGAGACCAGGTTGAGAAAGAGGATGTGAGAAGTACCACCCAAAGAGAATCATAATTAATCGAAGAGCCAAGAGATATATACAGTATTGACAAAAACAAATAAAGGTTATAACAAGACTAAGCCCATAAGCCGATCCCCCCCCTCCCCCCTCCCTGAAATAAAAGGGAGAAAAAAAAAGAAACAGAATTATTGTACATGTGGAAATCCAACTCTATCGCTTGACTTGACCATTCAATGTCCTTTTCATCTGGCGGAAAGGGGGTACGTTCATGGAGTTACGCCTTTTATCAACAAAGACGCATCTATCCCAAACGAGGGCGAGCCTGCCGAATCTTTTCTCCTGTCAATTTTTCATACTACTCAAGACATCACTTATTCAAGCCGAGACAAGTAAGTGGCCCAAGGACGTGCGTCATATCCTATTCCGTCCTTTTTTCTATGACTGCGAAAAAGTAATCCAAACGCATTTGATATTATATGACCAAGCAAAACCCATCCATTTTATATATCCCTCATTTTAGCAGTAGCGTACGCCGCCACCAACGAGCTGATGGCTCCAATGAACATGCACACAGCAATCGCGTTCGGTCCGTCCGTCTTGGCGTGCTCACTTGGATGTGCATCCGTCGCCAGCTCCGGGCTCTTGCCCGGCTCCAGGATGGCGAAGACGATGCTGCTCATAAATGTCGCGATGAACTGCGGGATGGTGGTGTAGATGTTAAGAATGCCAAAGTAGATGCCGCTTAGCTCGCCGGTTGAGCTGTTTCCTGCGGTGGTGACCTCCTCAACAGCGCCGGCGGCAGGCTCGTTGACGAAGCGCATCTCGATGCTGCTGGTGGAAAGTCTCCTGTAGGATGGGTTGGTGGCGGAGGTGGCCCCTGGAGACATAGGGTCGGGAGCGCCGCTGAGCTTGTTGACCTCGACACCCAGGAACGTGGTGGGTGCCCACATGGCGATGCTCCAGGGGATGCCGCATAGGGCAACCAGGACGGTGGCGAAGCGAAACGAGGCGGCGAAGGGGGTCAGAAACATGGCCAAGGCGAACATGAGGTGGCTGGCGATCCAGGCGCTGAGCAGGTCGGGCTTGTACTTGTTGACCGTCTCGACGAGGCTGGCGATGCTGGCGGGCGGGCGGTGAGTGAAGGTGTTGTCCTCGGGCGCGCGGATGAAGGGGGGCAATATCCAGGCGCTGATGAAGGTCACGGTCGAGTAGACGGTCAGGGCAGTGCTGCCGATCCGGCCCATGTCGCCCAGAGCGTCGCTCGAGTCTCGGGTGTCGGCGGGCACATCGTACCGGAAGTAGGTTTCGCCTACCCAGGTGCTGCTGTAGATGATGAATGGGAACCAGCCGATCCAAGACCAAAAGACCGCATAGCAGATGGCGCGGATGCGAGGAGGTAAAGTGATGAGGGTCGACACGATTTGGCGCACGACTTTGAAACGACCCGATTGGCGGCGAGGATCGGGCCGGACAGTGACGAGAACCCGCTCGGTCACTGCCCAGCAGGTTACGGAAGAGGTAACGAGCATCCCCAGGGCGGCGATGACGGTAAGCTGCTTGAATTGTGTGTCTCCCAAAGACGTTCCAAAGAGCTGGAGAAGGTCGATCGCCCCCATACCGTAGCCGATGATATGTCCAAGTGAGCCCATACGGCTTGCTAAGGTAAAGTTAGGATAACATAACGTCTATAATTTGATTTGGAAGACGTACCCCATGCTGCGCCACTTTGTTGTTTTTGAATAGGCAGAGTATCTACAACCAAGCTTCTAGCGCAAGACATTACTTTGAGAAGGGAATAGGTTAGTACATTCGATACTGAGACCCAAGAGCATTACAATGAGCCTTACCGGCATTGATGGCAAAGTCAACACAATAGAGCGAAAGGACAGCAACAGCGATGGTGCACGCTCTTGCATACGTCGGATCCCAAATAAAGTAGGCCACTATCTCCTTGGTAAAGCCCAAGGCCATGAGAGCGAGTGCTGTGATGATGGACCCAATAACGATGACAGGTCGCCTTCTGCCCCATCGTGACTTTGATTGATCAGCGACAACGCCTATGATGGGCTGTACGATCAAGCCAGATAATGGTCCGGCAACCCAGACGAGCGATGTTTGGCCCTTGGTAAGTCCCAGCGAGAGAAGGTAGGGCGTACAGTCTGGGAGAAGTGCCTGGTAAGCGAACGTCTCCGAATTCCGGGATAACAATCATGATATCCAAAACTCACAGGTCATTTCAACACCCCATGTGAAGCTGTGATTAGTGAGACGTCAGTAAACGTACAGCCTCCTAGTTTTTCTTTGTTTTCCACATGTACTAACGTGATGCCAACCGAGACACATGTCAGCAAGAGCATGCGCATGGTCTCCGTACTCCCCTTCACCGACGGGCTCCCCCTCCAAGTTGACATTTCGACGTTCTCTGCTTCAGAGTAACTGCCACTGTTGTCTTCTTGTTCACCGGAAGCCACCCACTGATTGGGACTCAAGCCCTCCTCCTCCTCCTTGCAATGACGGTCCGATGGCTTTTCCCCCTGGTAAGACGGGTTGCCCTGCTCTACTGGAAATTCGAAATCGGGAAACGGTGATTGTGTGGTGGAATATTTCTGCCGTGGTTCTAAAGGCGCACAGGTGTTATCGGGAATCTTGCCGTCTGTAGGAGGTATCGAATCAGTCATTGCGCCGTTGCGATGTAGGACATGATGGGCGCGCATCGCGTCCATATCAATTCGCGAGTGAGGGTATGTGTAGTTGCTGCTGCTGCTGCTCCCCGATACCGTACGTATGCCGTTCGTCGTGTCCATGGAGTACAGCTTCTGGATCTTTGCAGTGACCAAAGGAGCTCTGGTGATTTCGCTTACCTAGCCGATGCGCAATACACTAAGCGGGCTGCTTGTCCTCAACCGAAAGGGATGGAAGGCGTAATGCGAGGAAGGGTCGGACTACAATATACGGTTGCGCCTGCTGTCGTGGATCGTGCCGCATGCGGTTCAGCCGATGTATACGCTTCCTATCTGAGTCGAGAATGATGGTTGGTGCTGTTTCGGGAGCACAAGCGATAGCTGGGGGGGTTGCCCTACAACTATGCGGTACGGTAGATGGAGATAAGGGCGACTGAACGAGAGACTTGAAAGCACAAAAAGCAGAACAAACGTGGTAGGAAGCGAACGAAGAAAGCGAGTGAGGTGGTCAGAAACGACGGATGTTTAGGCGTTTGTCAAGATGGAAATGTATGCGATTCGAAAAAAGCGAAGTGTATAGGTTGTCTTGTCAGGGGGATGGTGTAAATTATGGAACACTGCCGCCCAGCCCTGCGAAGCCCCCCTACGCCTTTACGAGTATGTTGAATCAGTATCTTTACGTACGGGATTCGTATAGAGGAACAGCCCAGAGTTGCCCAGTGTTTGGCCGTTAGGAGTGATCCCCGGTGAATGAAACTTGGGGGTCGTTGGGTGCACACTAGAGATGTGAAAGGGGTGACGTATCCTCAGTGTCGGGACTTTGACAGGGGTCTTTGGCGACGGATGGCTCCCTTCGCGTTGCTACCTACCTCTACGCAGGAGAAAATCACCGCGTATATAAAGTTACATGGTGGAATGGGAGATGGGGCGTTTCTTCCTAGGTAGTCAATGTATACATAGGTAACTACCTTTATATCTGCTCCTGTTGTACACTTGGACCCTGAAGGACCCCAAATCTGGTATATTGTGATACACGATACCTACCTCTAAGTACATAATCAGCACGGTAACTTTCATCCAGTGCCTGAGCCAGGGACATTTTCATCTGCACTGTACCTTGCAGATCTCATTGGAGAGCGCTCCGACACGTGCTTCAGGGTACGGTTGAGGCAGATCACCGTTCGAATTGACATGGACATGTTTCGAAGGGATGGAAAAGGGATATCTTCAAAGCCAAATGGAAACCCAATTCGAAGTTATGACGACAATAGTACAGCGGTGCACTAGTGTACTTGGCCGATTAGCTAAAATCCGGCTTGGGCCGGTGGCCGTCACTCCGACAGGCCGATGCCCGACTTGTGCGGGTCGGGGAGCCCCGCCGCCTGCAGAGCTGTTTTGCTGGGAGCCCCCACTGTCCACCACCTGGTCGATCACCAACGCGGGACGGAACCGGCGAGGGGCACCCAGTCACACAGAAAATCTCCAGTCACCAACTTTTAGCTCCGATTCAGGAACGTGGGCCTTTGGCCGCCTTTGGTGGGCTCCATTGTCCTGGATGCGCCAGATCAGGAAAATTCCGACTTCCACAGAGAAGCGGCCCCAGAAAGCCGGCATTCGATTCCAGCAAACCTGCCCGTCCAGGACAATCCCCATCTGTGCTGTCGACGTTCATTTCAATTCAATTCGATCCATATTACATACCCAGCTACAATCGTCTGAAGTGTCCCGTGGTATGTCATCCACCCCCGCCAGCCCCTCTTGTACTTGTATGCTGTCCTGGTACTTCCTTTTACGGGGATCTCTTTTTCTCAAGTCCTGCAATATCCAAGAACTCTCTCTCGCTTGTTTCCAATTCGCAGACGAGACTAACTGGTGATCCCCATCAACTTTTTTTAGTCCACATATACTCGACCGACGCCGACTTATCTTTGCGAATCTCATATACCCACCCTTTCATCCGTCCTCCACTCTACATAGCCCTTCATGGATTTGGTAAACCAGTTAGTCATGTCCTCTCGGCCACCGCTGCCTGAAATCGATCCGACTCCCCGCCGCCGTCGATGCCGCATCTACAATGGCCAATAAAAAGGCATACAAGCTGACGTCTTCCAAAGTCTCGAAGGCAGACTTCTCTTTGCCGTGCCCAAGAGTGAGTCACGACATGCTATACCGAGCGTCTGGTCAATACATATCTAACGCGGTAACTTCCTGCAGAGGGCCGCCTGTTGCAAGCCTGCTTGAACCTCCTCGAGGGTGCCGACATCCAGTTTAGACGCGAGAACCGCCTCGACATTGCGCTCGTCAAGAATCTTCCTATCGCCCTCGTCTTCCTTCCCGCCGCCGATATCCCCACCTTCGTCGGCGAGGGCCGTGTCGACCTCGGCATCACTGGCTATGACCAAGTTCAAGAGCACGATGCCGGCGTCCGCACCGTTGCCCGCGCCCGCCGTCAAAGCGGCGAGTGGAGCGCCCAGGATGGCGAGAAGGCCAAGCCTCAGGGTTGCGATACCGTCATGGAGCTGGGCTTCGGCGCCTGCAAGCTCCAGGTCCAGGTTCCCGTTAAGGGCGAGTACGCTACTGGCAAGGACTTGATCGGCAAGAACATTGGCACCAGCTTTGTTCACCTTGCGCAAGAATACTTTGCCCGTCTCGAGCTGGAGCAGGAGGGTCTTGTGGATGCGGACGCTTCCCAGCTCGCCGGCCGTAAGCTCAAGACTCAGATCATTGAGCTCAGCGGCAGTGTCGAGGCTGCCTGCGCTCTCGGCGTCGCCGACGGTATCGTCGATCTTGTTGGTGAGTAATCCAGCCAGCATCCCCCCCCCCCGGCTCTCCCCACCTCTGACGCAGTAACTAACATACTTCGCCCCGACAGAGTCCGGAGAGACCATGAAGGCCGCCGGCCTCATGGCCATCGACACCGTCGTTGAGTCCTCCGCCATCCTCATCAAGTCCAAGGCCCCCAGCAACCCGGAGATGGTCGATCTGATTGCGGCACGTATTGGCGGCGTTATTACCGCCCAAAAATACGTGCTCTGCCAGTACAACGTCGAGCGCACCCGTCTGGCCGACGCCACTAAGATCACTCCCGGCAAGCGCGCCCCCACCATCACCTCACTCGAGACCGAGGGCTGGGTTGCCGTCAGCGCCATGGTAGAGAAGAAGCGCATCGCCACTGTCATGGACGACCTGACCACCGTTGGTGCCACCGATATTATTGTGCTCGATATTCACAACACCCGTGGCAGCAGGGCATGAGTGATTAGACAGGAGAAACAAAGGACATAATAGGCAAACATAAAAATGGAGATAAAAGCATTTATTTGAGCCTAACTTGGAAATTAGAGCGCATCTGGGAATTGAAATAAGGGTAAGCAAAGTATTGATGTGTGGTGATCTGGGTTTAAGATATCTGGCATCCTTGAAGTGGTGAAAATGCGGAAGAAGAGGCTTATGCTGAGCTGATTGTTTCGATGACCTTTATTCGAAGACGAGAAACGGCGTTAACGGTTCATATGACGTTTGCAGGCATCCTGAACTAACTTGCTTTACTGGTCGTATTCGTGTGTCAAAAGCATATTACGTATCAAGGGAAAACAAAAAGTCAACAATTGGTCGATTGAACAAAGTCTTCGAACTGTTTTGAGGTAAACAATTTAACTTGCTCCTCACATTTAACTTCCAGGTTGCTTTCGTACCCCTCAACTCCTCCCTAATAGTCGACAACCAAGACGGTCTATGAACACACAAGACGACGACCATAGTACCGAAAACGAACAGAAAAGCCCAGAAAAAGAAAATGTACAGGTGAATGAATGGACATCAAACATATGTACAAATATAACTGAACCGTTTGTGCCTCCCGTAGCTGGTAAGAAGGACGGACATGACATGAGCCATCTAGTAAATTGGCCTCCCTTCAGTCCACTTCCTGAAACCAAACCTACTACCGCCTGCCCTCGCAGGCGGATGAGTAGGAGTCTCATACTTCTGCTGATCCTCCTCCCCCTTCACCACCTGCTGCTGCTCCTCCTCCACCTCAGCCTCAGTCTTGACATCCGGGCCCCAAGAAACTCTGTAACCATTGTTGGACTTCAAACGCCTCCTAGCCTCGCCGCCCGTGATCCCAGGCCTGCTGGGGCCGATCCACTCCCACGCGCGGGCGATCTCACCGCTGCTGCTCTCGCGCTGGCCCGTGCGCACGTTGCTGTTCTGCTCCACGACAGCCGCGACCTTCTTCCACACACGCTCGCGCTCGGCGAGGCGGTGTACGGACCGCAGCACGTCGTCGCGTAGGTTGGGCAAGAACAGAAAGGCGTCATCATCACCTTCCGACTCAAAGGCGATCTCCTTCTGGAGAGCCAGGCGGTCGAGAACCTGGTCGACCAGACCGGGGATCTGGCGGGCGACGGCGCGGTGCGTGCGGTAGGCGTTGCGGCCGTAGATGAGGGAGAGAAGGGATAGGATCACTCCACCAATGCTGAGTCGATGTCGAGCCAGTCCAAGCTTGACGGATCGGCGGAGCGCGCAGGTGTACGGAAGGCGAGCGAGAGAGCTGGACGATAGCTTGGTGGTTGGAAAGCCAGAGGTATCTCCTTTTCTTCTAATGGTTCGGAAGCAACCGGTCTGGTTAGTCCAGGCGTGGTCAGAAAAGAGCTTATGTTGTCATAAAAACACTGTTCAAGTATTTCTTGGGAACTTACTCGTAGTAGGAGTCCGTTACGTGGACTTCAACCTCATCCCGAGCCTTGACTTCTCCCAAGGCCGCGGCCCAAAGTTCCTCAAACTCCTCGGCTGCCATCCGCTTGCTCCGCTTCTTGCTCAGAGACTCCTTAAGCTCTTGCTCGTCGATCGCAGGGCTTTCCAGAGGCTTGCCCTCGGGCTCTAAGGGCTCGCCACACTCGTACTTGGCTCTACGATCCCGCAGCTCCTCAACGGCCTTGTTGGCAACCGCTTGAACCTTGCGCGCCTTCTCGCCGTCGGGCTCGCAAGTAGGCGGCAGAGGAATGAGACCTCCGAGAGCGAGCGGGTGGGGCTTGAGAACGAAGCCAGGCTCGCAGCGGGCAATGAAAGCTTCGTAGCAGTAGGCATGCGGAGGGCACGGTTCGCAGTCGGGTTCGAGGAACGGTCCAGCCCATTCAGGGACCTCGAAATCGTGGAGGCCAATCTTGTCGGTTACTTCTGTCGCCCAGTCAGGCAATTTGATACTTCGTCCGACAAGCGGGCGCGATTCGCGCCCAAGACCACAGTACCCGACCGCGATCTTCTCTTGTCGGTACCAGCCCGCGTAAGCGACCAAGAGAGTGGTGAGGAGGACCCACAATGGAGTGGTCAAAGGACTTCTTTCCCTACGGCTAACTTGCTTGTTCCTTTGCACAGCCAGAGCAGGATTGTCTATCTCCTCTTGCATTAAAGCCAACTGCTCGTCTGGAGTAAACTCTTCTCCCGTTTCGACATATGATGAGTCCACGATATACGAGGAGTCCGCAACATTGGACATCATGGACATTTCAGAGTATTCGGGTGACCTCGGGGTCTTGGGCATCGAGTGCTTTCCAAATGGCAATTGATATGTCCTGACCGTAGACGTCGAGCTGGGCTCGTAACTCCTGATCGATGATGTCGTGTCGGGCGTCTCTAGCTCCTCGTATTGCGGGCCATCTGTTCGTCTTCGCGAAGCGACAGTAGAAGGGGTTCTGGTGTAAGTAGAATCCAACGCGCTCGTTTTGCGACGATGGCTCGGAGTCTTCATGGTCGAAGGAGGTGCCGCAGGACTTCCGGCCTGGAAGGGGTTGTCATTCGTGAATACGCTCGCAGTCGCGGGGGTTCGCTTGAAGAAATCGTCGTCGGATTCGTGCTTAACAGCCGGCGTCGTACGCAAGTTCCTACCGAGCGTAGATGGTGTTTCTTGATAGGATGTTTCTTGAAAGGACGTCTCCGCCTCGTGGCCTGTATCATCTGTGTCGGAAACACTCGGCGCATGAGATACGTGTGATGCTGCAGAGCGGGATACCCTTTGGCTTGTGGTCCCACGAGCAGCTGCCGGCGTCACAGGAGCGTGGCTTTCCTGGACATCCTCCTCCAGTTTCACCCTCGATACCTTGCGCGGCGATCGCGAGCGGCGAGTGCTTCGAGAAGGAGGCGGCAGCTCCTGGTCGAAGTCGGTGCTCGCCGAGCTCTGCGTGTCAGCATCGACAATACCTTTGCTAGACCTCTTAGCAGTGCGGCTCGCTAGATACTTCTTGGACAGAGGCACCACATGCTCGTTGAACAAGTCGACAAGCTGGCTCTTCTTTGCCGTGCTGGGATATGGCACCTGATGGGTGACGAGGATAGAGCGCAGGCGCGGGACGGTCAGCGACCGAGGGTCGAAGCCTGGCTGGAGATAATCAACGTTCTCGACGTCCGACATGGCGACGAAATTGGAATCGATCAAACAGCTTCAAAAGGGTGACGGAACGTGTGCGGGCGATTCTTGTCAATCCCGGTTTTGGTAGGCGACGAAAGATTGCTGATGACGAAGGTCTACCGAACGCTGATCGGAGATGGAAGCTTATCGAGCGTGTCGTCGAATCGTCGCGCTTTTGTTCGACAGCACGGGCAAGCAAATTATTTGCTTGCCGTTGGTGGTTTGGCCTTACAATGAATGCGATGACCAGAGCAAATAGCTTCCTGTCATTCGTTGATAAGTTTTAGTACAAGTGGAAGAGCTGACAATAATAGATATTGATGAAGGAAAAGCCAAGAATGTTGGTTTATCGCCAAGTTGGTCAGACAGACACACACGCAGGCAGGGCAGCTGTTGGAAAACAAAAAGTGTAGTGACGGAAGTGGAGTTTCTGGTTGTCGGTGGCAACCACAGACGCTAGCAAAACACGACCCTGCCTGTGATCACCCAAAGTCCCTTGGAACTTGTTTGGAACGTTCATTCAGTCGAGCACCGCCACATGTGGCGCAGCTTCGCTTACACCGTCTTGCAAGTCCTCTTTTGCCAGTGTGTTTTACATAGTCTTACGCCAGTTCACGTTCAGTGTTGCACAATTACATCACTTCATGACAAAATGCACATCGCAGCTCACAAATAACAAGAAGACTGGGACCTAGTTCACGACTGTAAACACACCGTGTCTGTCTTCATTGCTGACGTTGGCCCATTGTCAGTTTTCACACTAGGCATATAAGAAATAAGTTGATGGCGATGTCGATGACATAGATCGCAAGCGACCATCTCGATATGGGAACCTGCTGACATCGCCACGTTTTATATATCAATAACCCCCGCTATGCTGTCGGCCCTACATCCCGATTCTCCTCGTGAACCGCCCGAAACCCCGAAACCCGATCTCTGTGACCCTACCGAGCGAATAATGAATGGTGTGACCATGTAGATGTTCTCGTGAGGCCATGACACCAACGATACGGACGCCATTCATTCCTGGTCATCATCACTATCCATCACCACAGTTCGCTTCCTCGCTCGGGCATGGGACGCCGCACCACCAGAAGGTTTCTCTCGAGTTTGATCTCCGCCGCCGCCCCCTTTCGAGGTGTCGCCAACTTTAGCATGTCCTGGGCTCCCCGTTCGCATCCCCGTACCTGTGCCTTCCCTCTTTCTCTTAGCAGACAGAAATTCGATATCGGGTAAGTCGTCGTCTCCGTCCGTTGTGTCCTGGGTTGCGGGTAATTCTACCGGCACATAAAACGGCTTGGGCTTCTCTCGTCTCGCTGTTGATGGCAACGAGCCTTTAGCTGCCGACGCGGTTACCGGTACAAATCTGGATCCAAACACATCGCCATCATCTTCATCCGACGCGAAGGAATCTGGTATTTGCTGCTTGCGTCCCGTTTTCGAGGACAAGGAAGACGACCCTGCGTCAGGAGCTGTTGTCGGCGAGGTGGACCCGCGGGGACGATGCTGTAAACTCGAGGTGACTTCACCATCGCTGACGATAAAGTCCTCGAGGTCGGCACCGTCATCAGAGCCATCGGTACCCATTTCCATGTCGCTGGTGCGGGTGCAGTCGTCACCGTAGTCCACGTTGGGGTCTCCTTGTTTAGGTTGAGATTTTTTTCCCCGCCCGCTGCCACGTCCACGACCCTTGCTGCGGAAGTTTCGGGGCCTACTTTGTTCGTCATCGTCGACATTGCCATCATATTCGTTGCCACCCTCTTCACAGTCGCTGATAAGTGCGGTATGTCGTGCTCGAGGCTTGTTGGTCTGTTTGGAGACCCCGGTAGATTTGGCTTTTGCTGTCGCTTGACGTTTCTTAGGTGCGGCATATTGCTCTGCTTCCTCTGCTTCCTGCCCACTCTCGAGGCGCGGCCTCTTCTTTTGCCCCTTTCGTGACGTTTCTCCTTCTGTTTCGTCCGCAAAGGGCGGCAATGGTATCAATTCCCAGGAGGACGTGTCTGTTTCACCGTATGGCTTAGTATACCTATTCGCAGGAGCTTGAGACTTTGCCAGTCTCCTAAACAGTTTCACACATCGCTTGGTATATTCCCCGTGTTTGACATGGATGGTTTTCTGGACCACTCGTCTGGATGTTGGATGGCGATACCAGTCTATATCCAACTCTTCAACCTTCGAGTGTCCGAGGGGTATCTTTGTATAGTTTCTGCGGAGCTCGTTTTCCTGCGACGTGCTCAGCAAAACGCTTTCGTTTTTGGGCCGTTCGGCAATAAAGTCAGTTTCCTTAGGCGCAGGTGGCCTAGCGGGTGGTTTGGCTGTCTTAGCTCCAGCTTGACCAAAGAAAGAAGCCTTGATGAACCCTGTTTCAACACCGTCAGGCATGTTGAACTTCTTCTTTGCCGGCTTTGTCCTCATTCTTGCGGCAGATCTTTTTGGTTCTGGGAGCTCTGGATTTTGGGAGTTCTCAAGTGGAATCTCCACAACCTTCTTTTCCACCTCAGGTCGTATGTCTCGTGGCACAATACGTGAAGAAAGGTCGTGACGAAAGGTAAAGCGGCTGCCCTCGCATATCATTCTCTGCATGGTCGCGTAGTTGTCCTTCGCCTCGTTGAATTTGTCTTCCTCTTTCCCTTTCATCAACAAAAGTACAATGTTACCCGCTCTCTTGCGGCCGGTACGACCCATACGCTGAAGCATTCGGATCGGTGACGCTGATGCATCGTAGCAGACAATGAGATCCACTTGGCCAATATCAAGACCCTCCTCGCCAATGGATGTTGCGACCAGAACGTTGTGAGCGCCGTTCTTGAACTTCTCGATCGTCTCAATTTGTTGTTTCTGTTTCATGCCCTCGCTCCTCTTCGAGTCCGCTTGTCCAACGAAGACTGTGGCCTTGATAAGGGGTTGCTTGTTGAGAATGCGCACAATCTCTTCGGCACTGTCTCGGTATTCACTGAATACAATGGCTCTGGTATTGGAGCCCTCGCCAGCATCCATGAAGTGGTTGACCAGGGTCTCACAAAGATATTCCAGCTTGGGGTGTCCGAGGAACCCATCAATCTTCATCCAACCCTCAATCATGTCCATCATCTTCTGAAAGTTCTCATCCTCCAAGACTTGCCGCTTGAGCTTTGACCCTTTTCCTCCTTTCTCCTCCTCGGTGGTGCGGAATTCGGCCAGATTATTGTAGAACGGTTTGATTCCATGGAAGTTGAGTAGTTTGATGGAATGCGCCAAACTCTGGAGAATCGCAAATGTGGCTATGACACTGAATTTGGTTCCTTGGTTTACGTGCCTACCCGGACCTGCCATCCAGTCATTCCTGGCTTTCATCAGGCCGTAGGTAGTCAGGCTCATGGGGTCCCTGCCGTAGTATATATTTTGTGAACTCAGCTTGGTCACAAGGGGCTTCAGGGCCTTGGAGAACAAGTCTCTGACTTCCATCATTTCGTCAGAGGGGTCAAATGTTATCGTGTTGATGTCTCTTGAGTGCACATATTGACGAATGTCGATCGACTCTTCGGTTCTGATCTCGACGTGAGAAATGCCCAAATTATCAATGACGTCCTGAACACCTTCGAGAGACGATCCTGGTGTAGCAGTCAGAGCAAGAATTCGGAAGCTCTTGGAGAAACGCCTTAGAAACTCGACCACCTTAACGTATGCATAGTCTCCAGTCGCACGATGCGCCTCGTCAATAACCAGCAGTACAATGGACTTGGGATCGGCATAGCCTTTGGAAAGGTCATTCATTAGTGTTTGGGGTGTCATGAAGAACAGGCGCTTTGTCGCCCATTCGTCCTCACGTAGAACAGGAGGAGTCTCTCCGGTTAGGAGAGTCGCCTGAGATCGCGGGATGCCCGCTATGCTGAGACATGCTTGAACTTGTTGTGAAGCCAGGGGTTTCGTAGGAGCAACAAAGACAGCCTTTGCGGTTTTTGTCCAGCGGATGTAGTTTAGCATGATTGTCGCAGCAATAAATGTCTTTCCCAAGCCCGTGGGGAGGGCGACCAATGTGTTGTTGAAGAGGCCATTTTTGACAATGCTGAACTGGTAGTCTCGAATAGGTCCCAGATTCATCGGATAAACCCATGTTTTCATTTCTTCTATGTCAATCTCATGGTGAGTGGGCTGCTCTGGGGGCATATCGGCACGAAATGGTCGATTCGACACCGCTTGCGGGGCGGGTTGCGCATCCTCCTCCAGCGTGCCACCCCATAATGTCGTCTGACGCAAATTCTTACGCTGGCTAGACTGAGCTGGGGATGGACGAGACGTTGTTGCTGACGTGGTCGGCTTGCTTGCTGTTTTGGCACGCCCTGTAGCTGTAGCCTGACCCTGCGATACGGTTGGGATAACGATTCGTCTGGCAGAATCGGATATTGGCCACGCTTGTGCTGGTGGTTTTGCCGACGAAGCAAGCTGCTTGCTGTTGCTGGGGTGATGTGATGTGATGTTGCTGGTGGCCTGGGTAAAGGCCAACATCAAATCCTCGTCAGGAATATCGTCAAAGTCATCGTCATCCATGACTTGAGAGATGTGAGGTTGTAGAAAAGAAAGAACCTTGACGATTCAAGATTCGATGCGCCGTTGCTTGAACCGTTAATCCGTCAGGTTTTTTTCTCTTTCTTTTTTTCCTTTTTCTTTTGACTTCCTGTTCTGGCGATGAGGCTTGCTGGATGAAGTTCTTAGAAGTGAAACAGTTGACATTCACAAGCAGTCCGTTTGCATCGATGGATCGACCCTATCGTCACACAAGGAAGCCTGCTATGAGACGCGTCGCTGTTTTAATGGACGGGCTATTCCCTTGACACGTTCAATCGCCATAGCACGTGAATTGGTGTGGGCAGTCTGGATGCTGTCGCCTGGGGAGTTCGCAGCAGAACAGCGTCAGAGTGGGGCTGTTGCATCTTGGGTGGGGCAGGTTTGCGTCAAAATCCGATCGCTTGTCTCTGTGGTCCGCTGGAGCCTGGCGCACTGGTCGGAGCTTGGCTCATTGCCTTGAGTTGCATGCTCCTCCACTGCCGCCGCTAAGGTATTTCCTTTTTGGAGGTCCGGCGGGCTGAACCTTCTTCCATTCTCCAATCCGTCATCGAAACCTTCCTCATTTCTCGACCTTCTCGCGTCGTCACAGGTGGCATCGGCAGCCCAACCTCTTCAGTATTGACCGGCTGATGACTCTTGCACATCCTCGTACTCGCCTGTTGCTTCAGAGCTAGCAGCTTCCGTACGCATATTCAACCAACGATCACGAGCGAAGCGGCGGCCTTCTACTTCTACTTCCGTACCTTTGGACCTCCGCGTCGTCTTTGTCGCCCCACCTCCAAGCATCTTTTACATCTTTCTTTACCTCGACAAATCCCTTTAGAGAAGCGCACCTAGACTTTTAGCGAAGTGTCCTTTGACACCTATCTGGGCCACTCTCAAATACAGCGTCTGAAATCCACCCAGCGGTGATCAATCCCCGGTCGGCATCGGCGGCCTGTTTTTCTTGAAGCAGGCTGCTCTCCCGCCTAACGGCGACACCAAAGGTAAGCCCCGGCTCTGCATCTTAGTACCCTTCACCAGTTACCCCGACCACGACCGGAACTTTGACCATCAGGGCAGCGAAGAAACCGGCGAACAAGTACAACTCGCAACTCCACGACTCACTGTCCTTTCATCAACAACTCGGCGAGAGGAAAAATCACCCGCAACTCACAACCATCGTTTTCTCTTCAGAATCCAACGAATAACCATGGCACCTCCTACTGGTCCTCGCGCCGGAACTGGAAGGGCTCCTCCTCGTGGACCCCGAGCAACAGGCGGAGGTGGCGGAATCCAGAAGCGTCGCGCAAACCCGAGGACGGACCGAGATGGAGATGTGTCAATGGATGCTCCGGCTGGAGGCTCTGGTAGGGGTGGGTTGGCTTCCGGCGGTCGAGGACGTGGTTCCAAAGATGCTCGAGGTGGAAGAGGTGCGGTGAACTCCCGGACAGCATCCCGGGTAGTGCAGAACCTACAGAACTACGTCAGCGGAGGTCCCGTCGGCAAAACACAGTCCAATATGGCAACACTGAAGATTCACGGTATGAGCAATAGCAAAGCTACCGGCAATCGCGATGGAGGGCTTCGGTCCCTTCTCACCTTTCTGGAACGAAAGGCTTCCAAAGACAAAGCAGTTACAATCGGCAAGGTATACTTTCCCATCCACCGACATCCCAAGCGCGCAATATTTTACAACTGCGATAAACGACACCTTCTAACCCATCGATAGAGTATTATGGACGGTGATTATGTTTGGATCACGGTCAGAAAAGACGATGCCCCGGAGATTTTGAGGCTCAATGGCTTCACCTATGCCGGTGCACCCCTGACGATTACGGAAACCACCGAGAGGATGCCTCGCCCCGAAGACAAGATTTCCAAGGCTGCTGAGGAGACCAAACAAAAATTGACAGCAGTGCTAGCTGCGCGCTACAATCCAGAGTTGAAGCTGCTCGACTTATCTTCTCTTGGAACCGATCCTATCCTCAGCAGCATGGGCACGTTTGATTCCAAGGATCGGGCCGAAAAGGCCTTCAAGGTCTTGGTAGTTATTGCTAGTCAGCAGTACAAGACCGCTGCCGAAAAGCGTGAAGGGATACAGGCCATTTCCCTTGCCAGCAACGGCCTTAACGACGTCATGCAGGTTTTCACGCTTGCTACGTCACTTCCAGATATCAAGAGACTTGACCTGAGCAGCAACAACCTCGACAGTCTGTCCAAGATCTCCAAGTGGCAGCACCGCTTCCAGTACCTCGAAGAGCTTCATCTCACGGGCAACCCCATCACCACCCAGCCCGACTTCGTGGCAGAACTCATCAAATGGTTCCCATCGCTACAGAACATCAACGGACAAATTGTTCGCAGCCCACAAGAGGTTGCTGAGGCCCTCAAAGGCATGCACCCCACGCCACTACCGCAGTTCCCCTCCAACCTCCGGGACGGAGAGGCCAATGTGGCGAGCATCTTTGTCCAAGTTTTCTTCCCCATGTTCGACACCGACAGAGCTCGCCTCGCCGCTGAGTTCTACGACGACGACTCGTGGTTTTCGATTCAAGCCATTGCCAATTCTGGTCGTAATCTTCCTTGGAAAACCTACCTCAAATACTCCCGGAACGTTCACAAATTGGGAGAGAAGAATCCAGCGACGGTACAACGTCTCTTCACTGGAGGAAATCTCATTGCGGACATGTGGAAGGCTCTCCCCAGTACTCGCCATCCAAGCATGGAGAACCCTGGTGCCTGGCTCATCGACTGCCACACCTTCCCCAACCTCGCGGACCCCACCGGCCATGGCTTCGCTACGGGATTGCTCATCACTGTCAATGGCCAGTTTGAAGAGTCCGATACTACAGAAAACCTTTATGGAAAGCGCACCTTCACGCGCACGTTCATTCTTGGACCCAGCAAGCCGAGCAACCCGCCGCCGGTGCACCCATACCGGGTTATTAGCGATCAACTCACTCTTCATGACTGGACCCCCGCGGAGACACCTGCTGGTCAGGCCCCTGTCGCCAACCAGGTCCCGCAGGTTCCGGTTACCAACGCTGTGCCTCCAGCAGAACCTGTCATTTTGGATGACGCCACGAAGAACCAGCTGATTCAGGAGGTAATGAAGCGGACTGGCATGACAGCAGAATATTCAGAGTTGTGTCTCAGTGGCACTGCCAACTGGAACTTTGAGATGGCACTCAAGTCATTCGAGGAGCAGAGGGCGAACTTGCCGCCCACGGCCTTTATCAACGCTGTCTAGGGGACAGCGCAGGTCACCAGCGTCAGCATGGTTTGTTAGTTCATGGTGGATCAGCGCTAGTTGGGTAAATACCCTCTGCCTGGATGAGTTGGAGACAAAGGAAAAGGAAGATAAAAAATTACTGAAAGCCAAGGAACGAAGACTGGGAAAGAGGAAAGGTTTTAAGGGTCAACGATTAACTTTGTACAATACTTGCATTGCCATACTATCTCAAGGGAGCAACGGAATGGGTCGGTTAGCGGAATTCTTATAGGGCGGTCACTTGACTTGATATTGCGGAAACTTAGCGTGCGTTAACAATTGAGATACCTGGAGCTCTTTTGGGCTTTGGCCAAAGAGTTTCCCACATTCACGGGTTTTTTACATCTAATTATCATCTCTTTTATTATTTTTTCCCCCGCTGATTGGGTGAGGATGCTTACGGAAGATGCTCGAGCGTGATTGGGACACAACGTTTATGCTGGTCAGGCCCAGTAGCTTAACCACCGTGAAATTGGTAACCACGGTTGTGATAAAGTACGAGATCACACAGCTAATAAGATCTCGAAGCCGCGCGCCATTCTTGGCGATTGGGGTTTGGTGGTGAGCATCTGATTGTTGGTTTCCCCATCATGCGACGTTTCTTGAATCGCTGCTCCACTGCGGCCACTGCCACCCCGGCAGTTGATCGGTACCTGCATCTGTCGATCTTTCATTCATAGGGCGGCTTTGGGAGAAAAATGCTGAGTGGTCCTGGTACGATGAGCAGTCATCATCACCTGTTTGGCCTCGTCCAATGGGCGGCGGCAAGAGTTTTATCGGATGAGGGGTAGTATGGGCGCTTACATGTATTGATCTTGGTTGTTACGACTTATGATGGGGAAACACAATCATGTTCGACACTTGAACCTGAGTGAGAGCCAGGAATGAATTTTCCGTTGAGGATTGGCTTTTTTTTGCGCTTTTCGCTTTTCGGCGATCGGTTAGGTGATCGGTTATCTGTCATCAGTGGGAGTGATCGACACTTTATATGCTGGCTAAAGGTATGTGATCGATTAGATGAGAGACGACCAAGCGGATCAATGTGAATACATAAACGCGGGAGCTGCGACTTGTCATCCTTCAATTGAAGCCTTGTGTTAAGTTAAATAAGTATGAGGTTGTTTTCTCCAGTCAGAACCCATCACTGCATTCCAATGGTCGGCGAAAGTTGAATTTCTATCGATCCTTTCCGTACGCCAGGACCGTCATTCCTCGTCTCGCATTGCATTCTCGCCCACAACAGGCGGCGCATATAAAAACGTGTGTGACAAGTGTGCGTGTGCGTGTGCGTGTGCGTGTGCGTGACTGCGAGAGAGGTGATCAAGTAGATACATGTGGGGATTCTGTACCTCAGTCAGTCTTGCTTGTTGTAGTGTAGTGTAGGTTTGCTGGGTAGGTGGATGATAACAATCTCAGAGAAGGAATCGGCCAAGATGCAGTTGGGCAGCGTAAGTAGAAACAGAAGCGCCACAGAGATAAATCATGGAGTTGTTTACTTATCACATTCCCCTGGCAACTCAGAAATTTGCGCGCAAGAAGCCTGTGGGAAGATGGCATTTCCGCGCTATAACTAAGGAATTTGTTATGACGCCCATCCATTCCCCCTCCGTGTTGCCCCAGGTGATGAATGTAAATAACTTGAACTTGTTATCGCACTTCTCGATGGAGGATTGGCTAGAAGCACTCGACTTGGCCATGATCTTACATAGGTACAACGTCGTACAAGTACCTCTAGTCAGGTACATACCAGGAAGGGCAGACACATCACCCGCTGCTACCTACACACTGTGCCGTCAAAATGCACAACACCTGCATGTGGAGAGTTCTACGCTGGGAAGGTCGATACCTCATTATGTATAGCACTGACTAGGTACATACGATAGATTATGATTGCTGACGCAAACGTCATCTTCCGGATATCAAGAATATCTGACATTGTGTGTAGGGTTCCTTGAATCCCTGCGGGTTTGCTTGGCTCAGTCTTGGTTGATTGCTTTGCCGGCCTGCTTGCTTTGGCTGGAGGCTGCTTGCTTGTGCTTGCTCGGCCTGCTGCCGAATGGTTCATTAAGGGGGGGAGCCACTCTTGGTCTGTGCAAGATGATATGATGGGATGAACCGGTCATTGGTGGTGGTGTTCGTGTTCCATCTCCGAACTGCTCGAAGCACACGCAATGCCGCCAATGCAACAAATGAGAAGAGAAATGATGAAGAAAAGAAGCGACAGACGAAAGAGAAGGGACCCCACACTGAACTCCACCGAGGGTATTCCCCCGTTCTCCACCTACCTGTCCTGCCAAGCGGGGGATGGTTGGAAGGTGGAGCATTCAGGTGGTGTTTCAAGTTCTAGCGAGGGGAGTCGCGGACAAGGGCACGAGGCAAGAGGAAGGGTCAAAGAAAAAAGCGAGAGGAGGAACTGAAGGCTTGTCTACAGGGGCAGAAACCATGAAGCTCAGTTCGCATGAGAAGTTCGTCGGAGTGATTGCTAGTTCTTTGCATCAGCTCCGGCTTTTCTTCAGTTCGTTGTTATGCATTCTGGGCATGGGTATGGGCATCCAACCTCGCATCGACCGACATGCATCCTGCAGGTGGTTCCTGGGCTGTCGTATTGGCTCGCTTGCCCAATTCTGGAAGTGGATAGATGCTACACTACATCACGGCAACAACATGGTCAACATACATATTTGGCGATCGGACCTCGGATCTGGTTGACAGGCAGCCTATGGACGTGAATAGTGGCAGAGTCCTGTTGATTTTCTTGCTGATTGTTTGTCATTGGTCCTGATGACGACCAGAGGCTCTACCGGATTGCCCGTTACTTATCACCTCAGTCATGCTTGATGGAGGCCGTCCGTCCACTGACCAGGGTCCTAACTCGTCTCCACCTGCCAGAGAATGTCTCAGACCCAGCGAGCCGAATCCCGATCTAGCATCTGCGGAGAACATTCACAACCCATCCCGATTCCAACGACAGATACTCTAGCTCGTCTCAGCATTACCGCATTAGTCGCCTTCCCATCACGCGCCACTGCACACCATGCCTCTGGGCGAACACGCGAGCTCGCCAGGGACAGGAAGGCTGGAAATGCCCCAAGCGCAGCCGAGGTAGCAGCTGCGAAGTCCGTGTTGGTAATCTTGTTTTGCTGCTCAGACTTCAGCGTTGCACTGCCAATTTTTCTGTTTGCGCCTGAGCCCCCTTTTCATACCCTCAAAGTCGCCAACTAGGTGTTTCTGCCATGTCCCGACCAAGACCGGCTACTTCCCCCTTGGCCCTGGCGTCTATGCGATCCTAGGTATCCCACGCGAAACGATACATGCAGCGGATCAAGCGTCTCCTGCCAGTGCCTGTGCCGTCCCCTGCTCCGGCCCCTGTCCGGCCCATTGGCGCCTCTGATTCGCCGACGACTGCCTCGCGGCACCATCCAGTGCCATCTCCCCTCCCTGCCAGAGTGCCAGATCCCATGCTTCGAGTGGGCGACTACCTCGTCCGCACAATCTCCCGTGTCCTCGTCCTGGTCCAGTCGTTCCAGTGTCTCGGTCCTTCTGTGCCATCCTTCTCCTCGAGTCTCTGCCGTCTTTCTCGTCTCCGTCCTTCAGGCCTCGTCTCACCAATCGCTTCCTATCTTCTTCTCCTCCTCCTCCTTCTCCTCTCGTTCTTTTCGCTTTTTTGCCCGTCTGGGATCCGGCTTGTGGTGCTCGACTCTCCTAGTCCTGGGAGCTCAGTGAGGACGACCAAAAGTTTGCTACGAGACCTTGCCTTGTCTCACGCTGATGAACCCATGAAATATCTCCTTGCATCTGCTTGTACGACGACGATAACAACGACGACGCTAGCACAGAAGCATTAATCTGCCAGGGGCTTGCAAGTACCACCAGATTCTCGCCAGAGTGGAAACCGACCAGATTCAGTCCAAGAGTCCGCTTCATATCCCCCGACCCTGCGACACACAGTCACGGGCTCTCGTTTCTTCCCGCTACACAACCTGATCCGGCCAACTGCGAAAGGCCCTCTGTTTCCATCTGTTTTCTCGGAAACATCCAACAGGTGTTCCGTCAATCGATAATTCTCCTTTGATCCGACAAGGGCCGGCCCTCTTGAACTTCCAGAACGCGTACTCATCAGTCACTCATTGTTCTCAACCTTCTCTTTGATTAGAGACTTACTCAGCATCATCATCTGTCACTCATTTTCTTTCATTTTCTGCGAGCTCATCATGTCGCTATAGCTGGCCCGGACATCATCAACAAAGACCTCTTTTCTCCGACCCGGCGGATTCACCCTAATATCCACACCATTTTCTCCCCGTTTGGCACGGGGAGACATCCGCCATCACAGCAAAGATGCCCCTTCCCGAACCGGAAGTTCCCTTGACAAATGCGTGCGCTGTCATCTTCGACAACACGATTTATACGTACTCAGCCGACGCGTTTCAGTCGCTACAGTTAACGCCAGGCGCAAAGTGGAAGAAGTTGGAGCAGGGCGAGAAGGTCACGGGCGGCGTTTGCGTAGGGGCGACAACAGGCACGGCAGCGACGTCTTCACTTTTCATTGTCGGCGGGAAGGGCCAGACGGAGGGCTACCAGGGCATCCAAAAGTACACGTACTCGACAGGGAAATGGGAGTCTCTTCAGTTGCCAGCACCGGTAACACAGGATCGGTTACTGCACGGTGCCATCTATCTGAACGCAACGGATTCCATCCTTGTCTACGCTGGCAATCAGGATGGTTCAACTGGCCCATCCACACAAACATATGCCATCGGCGCATCTCCACCGTATAATGTGCGATCGTTCGAGGCCAGCGTACCGCCTGCTATCAACCCGATTCTCTTGCCATGGTCGGACAGCGAGGCTGTTATGCTCGGTGGCAGCACCTCGAACACACAGGTGATGCTTTTCAAGCCTGAGACAGGGTGGAGAGACTCGGGAACAACCCTTGCCAATCCTATAGCGAAGGACACATCAGCAATCAAGGCGGCATTGGTGCGCGGCGATGATGGGTCACAAAACCTTTATACCTTTGACATGACACAATCACCCAACATGGTGCAGCGGATATTGTTAAGTACTGGCCCCGAGCAACCTATACAGAACGCTGGGCCAGCGAAGAAGCGGGATGTTACGATACAGGAGGAAGAACGGTCGATTAGCGAAAAGAGGGATGTGCTGAACGTGTTGACCTGGCCGCATTACAACGCAACCCTGGCACCCACCAGCACAAGGAGTAATTATGCGATTGCGCAGGATGCCGATGGCATGGTTGTTTTTGTGGGAGGGAATTCGGAGGAACCTCTAGCCATGTTCAATGCCAAGGACAACACTTGGTATAATACGACGGACATGTTGGTGGATCAACAGGTGATTATTGCCGCCTTCACGTCTTCAACAACATTGGAAACATCGACGGTAACTTCCACGACTGCTTCGATGACGACCTCTACGAGTCTTGCAAAGTCGGAAGCTTCGACGACGCTGGTCACTGCGACCCCCACTGCAGCTTCTTCGGTTTCCCCTGTGAGTGTCGCTACTGCGGCTGTCAGTAGCAACACTGAGAGCTCGAACGATTCAGGTTCCAAATCCCACACAAATGTTATCCTTGCCGCACTACTGAGTTCAATCTTTGGACTTGCCATTGTCTTGTTCGCCATCTACTTCTGCATCAAAAGGAAGGGTAGGCAGCAAGCACGCAAACAGACAGGCGGTGCAAGGGGTGGGAGCGGAGGACCTGGAGAAGCTTACGACGAAAAGGCTGGTTACGGGTTCCCGCCTGATACCAAGGGCCCCTTCCGTGGTCATGGACACCAGACGCAGGATTCATGTGGCTCCATGTCGTCCCTGGCGATGATCGGCTACGGTACAAACCACCAGAAACCGGGCCGCTCTGCCCCTGGCCACAAGCTCAGTATTAGCAACGCCTTCGGCAGGCGCGATTCGGACGACAGCACCTTTAAGGCGTTCAAGAGCTCCATCAGCAAGCCGGTTCCCGTTTCGCAAAGCATATCCGCCGAGCCACCAGAGAATCCGTTTTTGGCAGCACACGAAAAGGAAGTATCGTTCGCGCCCAGCCCAGCCCAGCCGATGCCACGGAATCCTGCAGCCGCTGCCAACGTCGACCCCGAGATTCGGCGCAGCTCCGGATGGAACCGGTACTGGTCCGGCGGCTCAGCCCTGAACGTGATCGGACTCGGCAACAACACCAACAGTGCCGTGATCAACCAAGGCTCGCAACGAACCACTGTCGTCTCGGACGTGAGCTCCCGCTACAGCAAAAATACCCAACATAGAATGACCCAGGATAGCGCGACAGTGCCTGCACTTCAAGCTTACGAGTCGCGCGTGTCCTTCAACCGCGTAAACTCGGGCAGCCCAACCATCGCGCATCGTGACCACGATGACGAGAAGCTGTACGAGGGTATGAGTGGCCAGATCGAAATGCCCCGGCCCGTGAGCAACGTGAGCTCCATCTCGGGATACTCGAGCGGCATTCCCGCTTCCGTGCACGATACCTGGGACCCGACCGAGTTCACGAAGCCATGGGGCGCTAACCGCGCTCCCAGCAGTGCGTACAGCGCAAGCATTTACACGACTCCCCTGGCGCCTGCGGGGAGGGTGCCGTCTCAGCTTGTCCAGCAACAACAGGGGACGCGTCAGCAGGTAGTGCGCGATGACATGAGCTGGCTTAACTTGGGCGGCAAAAATGGCCGGTGATCGGGTTTTGACTCGGTTGTTGCTTCTGTCAATTCTTTTTCACTAAAAACGTCTGGTCGGCTGCCTGTTGAAGGTCGCTGTTGCTCTTTCATTGTTGTTTGTTTGTTCTTCTCGTCGCTCACTCTTCCGGCTGTCTCGATGGAAGGATGGATGATGCCATCAATAATATCCTGTAATCGCGGCATATCCCGGACTCCCGTTAGTTCAGTAATTTGCTGTTGTTCGCTTGCTCTTGGGTATGAACAACTTGCCCACGCTCCTCAACGAACACTCGGAGGAAGAGGTGGATGAGGAGGGGGCGGAAAGAAATGTACTGTTTGTCCGCTTTATTTTCCGACTATCGTTTCGGATACCCTGTTATTATCTGTTGCTGGTGCTGGTACTGGTGCTGTTGCTGTGGTTGTGGCGAAAGAGGAAAGCGGCTGGAGCGGAGGTGTAGTTCTAAGTCAGAGACGCGGCGCTGGTTGTAAGAGGGAACTAAGGAAAGGAAAGGAAGGCCATGCTGTTTATTAAGTTAGTCCATGTAGGTAGATCCGGCGTTATTCATCATCCATCATCACTATCATCATCTCTAACCGCCAGTTCTGTTCTTTTTCTCGTGTTGTCGTTTTCTTCTTCTTTAGTCTCTTAAACTTTAGGTGTTTTTTTTATCACTTTCCGTTTCTTACATTGCGCAAGCATTGTTGCATTGCATCAACTTTGGCGACCCGGGTTCGGTCACAGATAGTTATCCTTCTTCGTATATTTTTTTTTTCTCCCTCGGTCTTGTACTGTCGAAATAGCCGTAGTGGACAAATATGATGATTCCATACCACTCTACACCAAAACCCCAGTCAATTGATTGAATCACCAGTGAAGAGCTATACAACTGAACATCAGCACCAACAACAACGACAACAGAAATGTAGCTATACACTACCGCAGTCATCGGGTCAAGTGGCCCATTTCCTTCTCCAATATGAACAGTATACTTCTCGTCCAGCAATCCCTGTGTCTGTCTCCCCGTTGTGTTCTGCATTACGATTGCGTAAGAAGAACAAGACCTGCGGGTTGTCAGGACTCAGGGGGACCAAGGTCTTCTTATATGTACTGTACATACAGCAGAGTCCCCTGGAACCGCATGCGTAAGGTATACCTACGCAGTACACCCAAATATGCCTCGACATCCACAACTGCATCGCCAGGCGATATCACAAGTCACTGTCTCCCACCAGAGGCCAGCTCCCTCCTATTCTGCAGAAATACATAACAGTTGGCGTATAATATCTGGCAGTCCCTAGTAGTGTATGGATTGCATGTAGTTTTAGGAGACTTTGCAGTACTTTACACTCTTTGTGTACAGGTGTGTATAATGCATGTACACTACGTGATACTGTGATCAAGACGAGAATCCAATGGGGTTGGTGGAGGCGCATGATGTTGCCTCTTACAATGCAATGCATCTGGTGGAACCCCCCACTTCCTGGACGTGGGACTGCGCAGAGAGACTGCTGCAGTTATAAAAAGATTCAGTTGTAAATCTAGGATTCTTCTGCGAGTGGTTGTTTCAGTGAGCATCTGCCGTTCATAGGGAAGTTGCTTTGTAGTAGAAACACGGTTCTATGTTTCCTGAGTTCGTTCAAGAAGGTCTTGGAATCATCTCTAGTATAGAGCTTCGTTTGACAACGTCCTTCGCTCGGAACGGACGGATGTTTCTGGACAAATGTAGCTGAAGAAACGATGAAGAATTCTCTCCCACGTGCTTGCCATTCGCAAATTAATTTCTCGTCACACTGCATGGAATGGATCTGGAAGGTGTCACCTCACCTCACCTCTGACACAGTAGAGGTAGCCCTCGGTCCTAGTCTAGTCTGTGAGATGACTGTCGGCCCCACTGCCTAACCCGGGGAGCTACACTACAATACCTCTTCAATGCTGCAAAATTTGTTAGCGCTGAACTTGAGTAGGCAGGGTATAGAAACAGAAGAAGTGATTGGCTTTGCAGGCCAATGCCCTCCAAAGGTGGAGAACCACACTTCAAGCCCACACACACATCAACCGCTTGAAGCCCCACTTCCTTTTACTGTACCTCGACAGCTCGAGTATTACTCGCGATGTTGACCCGCCGTCAGATCCTATTTGACCAACCTAAAAGAGTGAAGTGCTTGCTCCAAGTACGAGTGTACACTACAGTAACAAACTGATCAGGGCTGGATTGTACCAGCGTGCGGACAAACGGCTTGAGGTGCCGCTCGAAAGACGAAAGAGAGGGGGCGCGGTTCGTGTTGAAGTAAGGTCGAAGCAGCTGTCTCGCGATAACTTAAAGTGATGGTCTGATCTAGAAGGAACAATGGCTGGAAGAGCTTGTCAGATGTTGACATCGTTTCTGCGTATTGCCCGGGTAGTTTGGGTCCCGTTGGTTTCCTTTGATTTCTTCCATGGGAGGTCTTGAAAGCGTGAAGTTAACATCGGCGGGTGCCTGGAGGTATCCAATTGGTAGGCGGGGCGGGCGGGGTCTAGAATAGATCGACCCGGGCCTTTTTCTCTGCCTTCTTTCACACGCTGCGAGGGGACGTTGGGACGCCCGCCCGGGGCTGGGAACCGCTGAGACTCTTCAATTGTAAAGACGGAGTCCCACATCGCTACATACTTCAATCCAACCGACAGAAGAGAGAAAGCATCGACGAATCCAGTATCTCTATATTCCCGTCATACGCGTCCATTTGAAGGGTCTCTGGTGAGCTACCAATCAGTAAGGCACATCCTGACAAACTTCGCCGGGTCGCGCAGACCTGATCGCGAACCCGAACAGTTTCGTTGTCGGCAATAATCTCGGGTCCTCGCTAGGTACCGTTAAATTACGGAGTCACCATAGACGGGACTGGCCCGGCCAAGACTTGAAGCTCGTCGAGGTTATCCGGCCCTTTAAGCGGTCATCCGTCATCGCATTGTCGATCAATAATCAAGTGCAAGGCGACTTGCAGAGCCGCCTGAGAAAGTCCAAAATCAAAGCCAAGTCCCCAACCGCCTGGCCTTGGCCTCAACGTCCTTCGACTCAATTGATCACCCAACAGCCGGTGTCAAAATTACTGGACTGCCTCCGCCCAAAGCGCCGTACCCGTTCCCGTACCCGCAACCGCACCCGCACCCGTGCCGGACAGCCGGCCGTCCCCGAACCATCGTCAATCCGGACTTTGGACAAAGCCTCCCCAGGAGGGCCTAGCCGGCGGGCGTGATGAACTCCTCATCGTGGAGTGCCCCGGACCACAGTCACCACCCGGCCCTACACACCGCAGCCGATGATGACTTCCACCAGTTCTTGGATATAAACGACATGGGCGATCTATCTGACGCCTTGGACTTTGACTTTCGCGACTTTGCGGCCGACCAACATACCGCCCACCATGCTGGCCGCCATGCCGCCGACCATCTGCTACATTCGTCGGGGGGAGAGCATCTGGACACCCCCATGACTGGTACCGACATGTCCATGATCTTATCGCCCGTAGACCATGCCATGCTCCGACATGGGGTGCAACAGCAACAGCAACACCAGCAACATCAGATGCCCACTATTACCACGACTGCGCCATATCAGAACGCCCCGACGGCCTTGATACAGCCATCTACACCCTCAGAGGCCATCGTCAACACCATCGATGCCCAAATCCAGTTCCTCCAGCAGCAGAAGTTGCATGCTCAGCACCAGCAACTGCAAGAGCAACAGGCCGCCTACTTCGCTTCTCAACAGAACCACATAGTTCCTCCTACACCTCAGAGCCTGGAACTCACTGCTGGATCTAGTCAGAATTACTATGCCCAGTCGACACTATCTGACCAACACCACTCCGGGCCACAGAAACAGCAGCAGCCGCAACAAGCCATCGACTACAGATATACAAGGATCAAAGATCAGCATGATGTAGGTGTCCAAACGTCTGCTCCGTCCAAGTCAAGAAACATAATTACTAACCAACCATGCCAGATGTCCTTCACCCCGTTGGTATCACCGGCTGTGACACCGCTGGAGACCCATTTTCCCATCGATACTCCGTTTGCCGTCCCTGGAGCGTACTTCAGCCCCCTTACCTCGCCAGCCTTGCACGCGCAAAATGACGCTTTGGGTATCATTGACCAGAGGCTCGGGATGATGAGCGGGAGCTCGCCAAGGGAGATGGAACTCGAACCACCTGCCATGTCTCAAGCGAGCGTTAGCCCAGGCGATTTGGCTAGGAAGACGCGCAAGAACGCAGTGAAGGCCAGGGCAAAGAGCGGCAGTGGCATCAAACAGTCTCCCATCTCGAAGCCGATACGCAGAAAGACGGCCACCACCCCGATGCTCAACCCCCAAGCTTTGAACCAACTGGTTGAGAATGCAGCACCAAGTCAGGAACGCCAACACCCTCTTACGCCGCTAATACCGACCTCGTCTTCGTCCACAGCTGGTGTAACTGACTCTGAGAATGGGTCCATCTCCCCCGAAAATCTCAACGATGTTGTCTTGCCGGTTGAGATGCCTCCGCCCCCGCTTCCGAAACCTCGCTCCGCCAAACCGTCCCCTTTTCTGGCACCTCAAGCGAGCGGTAGTGCTGTGCCTATTAACCTCCAGCCGGGACGGCCTGGAATTGCCTCTCCCGCAACACCAGCATCACTGATGAAACTAAGCTCGCCGAGCAATCGCAACCCTTCAGTGGTAGGAACCGGCTCTCATGACCCAATGGATCCCGACCACATTGAGAACTTTGAGCTCCCGGACTCCATCAACTTCTCGTCCGCACCAAAACCCGCCCCTGTAGTTACCACTCTTGGAACACCGGCTCTCGATCCTCTCCAAAAGGCCGCCGCGCCTCTACAAACGCCAAGCCTCCCACCACCACCTTCTCCTGTGGTGGCCAAGCCTCTGGCACTTCCTTCCGCTGCTCTTTCCAGTCCACAACTGAAGCCCGATTCCGCTCATAGCCTGAAACGGACACCCCAACTTGCACCCATGGGAAGAAGCAGCAAAAAGCGTGCAAGCGTGACCTCCATCCAGATGTCCCCGGCCCTTCGACCCAGGATCTCGCCCAGCATCAAGCCTCTGCTACCAGGAGGTTCTGCGGGTGCCGAAGACGCAGCATCGATTTTGCTCGCCACCAAATCCAACTACCAACGCATCCTCGAGGGCAACACAGTTCCCGGCGTTTCGTATCCCAGCGAGCTTTCCACGAACCTCACATCGAAGCGGACGTCGCACAAGATCGCGGAGCAAGGCAGGAGGAATAGGATCAACTCCGCGCTGCAGGAGATCGCCACGCTTCTCCCCAAAGCTCCTGCGAAGGAGGGGGGAGATGGGGATGGAGACGGTCATAGTAGTAGCGGTGGGGGCGGTGGCAGCGGGGGTGCTGACAGGGAAGATAAGAGGGAGAAGGAGAAGGACAAGGCTGGAGGGGGGATACCCAATAGCAAGGCGAGCACGGTGGAGATGGCAATTGAGTATATCAAGCAGCTGCAGAAGGAGGTGGCGGACGCGAACAAGAGGGCGGAAGAGGCAGAGAGGAAGTTGGTGGAGATGAAAATGCAGGGAGGCGCCGCGATGGGGTCCGGATCATCAGTTGGTGATGCTGGTGATTTGGAGGCTCCAACCACGGAGGCTAATCCGGTCGTGGATGAGGGCCTGAAGTCTGGCGGTGGTGACGCGATGGATGAATAAGATATCAAGATCGGATTAAAGAGCCTCCACAAACGCACGAGGTTGTTCTTTAACACGCGATAACCAATCTGGCGTGTACAACAGGCGAGTCGGGTGTATAAGTGGGCAAAAAAGAGAAAGGGTTGGTTGACTTTCGGGTATAATTATGCGGGTGTTCAGAGTGGGCGAGATTTTTGCTTTCAGGATACAAGGTAAACATCTCCCGCGGGTGGATTATGGGGTTAATTAAACATACAGGCGGTGGTGTTTGGATATACCCCTCCTCTTACAATAGGAGTACTCAAATAGAAATAATTAGGGAGTCATGATGAACGGGATGATGGCGCTTGACGGGATGAGGTAACACGAGATTTAGGATCTGTACTTGGGCAAACCAGGATTGTTCTGGGTTTTACCCACCCAAGAGGGGTGTTTAGCTTCCCGGTGCTACCGGTGTCTGTGTCCTTGCGAAGTGCTTGCTCGGCCTTTTTCACGCAGGTGAAGTTGGGCGAAGGCTTGTCATAGCTGTGCAACAACCAGTCGCTTGACCTGACTAACAACAAAACTATGAGATTGAGATGGGTCATGTTAATTCTCGTGATAATCCATGATCTTATCACACAAATTGATCATCTCTGCTTGAACATGGAGACTGCTTCATCGCCTCAAGCAAGGGTAGACGAAAGATATGAGTCTATATGATGCCCGAGCCACTATTCTCTAAACTTTTCTGCATTTTTCCAAGCACTCTTGGCCATCGAATCTAGTATCATCTTCGCTCACTTCAATAGCTATACACAGCCTCACAAACACGACTAAATCGCTTCTGAGTGAGTAGGTAGGTAGACATGGAGACAGAAAAACCAACAACTCCTCCGTGCACCCACCTTTTCTCTCATCCACCCTCGAATTTCCAAAGCACCGCAACGCCTTCTTCAACGCCAATGAATTATTCACGACCTCTTGATCCTTCAACTTCCACCAACAGTCAACAACCAACTCGCGAGGAGAAGGGAAAGGATAAAGAGGCTATGGAAAACGAAGATGAAGGACAAGGAGATATAATTGCTGAGAAAACGCCAGAGCCGCAGCTCCAGTCTCAGAAGGGAGATGATGATGATGATGATGATGATGACGACGACGGGGACGAAGACGAAGAAGAAGAAGACGAGTACACCGAACTCTTCCAGGTCCTGGCGAATGTAGCGAGAATGAAAGTTTTCGGCGAACGAATGAACAATGCAGAGGGGGGTGCTTTGAGTGGTGGTTTGGGAAAAGCGGGTTGGTATTACGAAGTTCAGTATTTCGGTATGAGGGGGTTCTCGGAACATATTGCTGGGGATGGGATCAGTGATAATGGGGGGTCTTTTAAGGAGGGAGAGAGTGAGGAGGAGAGTGAGGGTCATGGGGACGTGGGAAGAGAGGAAGGGGAAGAAAAGGGACAAATGGAAGAAGATAAAGAAGAAGAAGAAGGAGAAGAGGAAAAGAAGGAGGGGAAAGGAGAAGAAGGAAAAGAGAGAGAAGATGACGATGAAGAGAATTACGTTATTGTCACATTCCTAGGGGAGCAGACTGATTCAGATGATGAGAGCTGGTACTTCGTTGAAATTACCTCTTGTGACGAAGAGGAGGACAGCGATGACGACGAGGGCAGCAAGGACAACAAGGACACCGAGAACAATGAAGACAAGAAGGGCAACGTAAACAGAACTGAGAGCAACAACACCAACAACAACAGCAAGAAAGGCAACAAAAACAACGGCCATGACTCTGATAACGACGAGTGGCACGACCATCATCATTGTCATCATTGCCAATCGTTCCGTAGCATCATCATCACCCAAACCACCACGACTACCAACCCGCAACAACAATCACACCCCCAACTCCAAGAACAAGATCGACTCTCCCTCGTCAACCCTTCCTTCGAGATACTCCAATCCTCCCCCATATCCTTTACCATCCAGCTCGCCATCCCCGGCGCCAAGCGGCGGGATATCAGCGTTGCCTATGACCTCAATACGAACGTGTTGACGCTCAGTGGGGTTTTATATCGGAGTGTTCTTTCTCTTGAGGATTCACCGTCTGCTTCTTGTTCTGCTTCTTCTTCTTCTTCTACCTCTTCTTCTCTCGAATCTGAGAGCGAGACAGACAGTAAATGTAGACCAAAGGCGGGAATAAATCAGGGCTCACAACTCAAGTCAAACCCCGAATTTGAAGCGGACTTGGAGTTGTGGTTGGCGTATGAACAGGCCTCAAGACCCGCCGGGGTGGATTCAGGATCGGGTTCTGTTTTGCTCCTTGGAGGGTATGGGGGGGAGGAGGAGGAGGAGGAGGAGCAGGAGGAGGGCAAGCAAGCGAGTGGTGGTGGTGGTGATGGTGATGGTGATGGTGATAGCAGCAGCACAGACACCGACGACAGCGATAACAAACAGTCGCAAACCCAGACCCAAACCCAAACTCCTCCTCCGACAACGACGGAAAGAATCCCCTTCGGACAGATTTTAGACCCGGTTATTTTCTGTTCACCTACCCCTACATCTGAATGTCGACTTTCACCGTCATCTACACCTGAAGAACAAAAACAGCACGAAGAAGTGAATAACGAGAAGATCAAGGTGGGGTTGGAGGATGGGATGCCAACAGTTGTTGTCCCGCTTGCTGTTGAGGAAGAGACCGAGAACGAAAATATGGTGGGGATAGTGATCTGAATGGGTAACGTTTTCTTTTTTTTCTTTCTTGGTCGTTTGTGAAGAGGTAAACCGCGCGAGCTGATGAGTTTCTGAGTGCGTAATTGGGGATTAAGTGTGGTCTTTTCTATGGAGGATGAGAAAGGAGTGGATGGTTGAGACAGTAAGATTGCTCGCTGTGGGTGATAAAAGTCCAAACAGCCTTGACGATCAAACCTATGCAAAGGAATACAGTAAATTTCCTCCTGCTTTCTATGGATGACTGAGATGGTAATCATATTCGCAATGCCAGGAGACCGTGACCGAAATCACAACGATCATTAGTACACTTGAAACTATGGCCTGCACATCAAAGAGGAGGGGATTTGCAGACCAAATGTTTGGTTGACAAATTACTATATAATAGTAGATATCGCCTAAGCTTCAGTCCAGATAAACTACTATACTACTTTCCCCACCAAAACTTGCAATATCTTCTTTCATTACAACAAGCAGATCATACCTCTCACAGTCCAGCCAGTACACCCTGGATACCGGGAGTAGCAGCATCCTCTCTCTTCTGCACAAAGGCTTTGAAATCCGCCTTTTGCAACTTCTTACCCGATCCGCCACCGCTCGCCGCACCCCCAGCGGCACCACCGCCACCACCACCACCTCCTCCTCCTCCCCCAGCACCACCACTGCCCGTAGCCAAGAACTTGGAACGTTCGCGAAGGGCCTCGGGTCCAATGATGAAGAGGTATCCGACCTCGGTAAGCAGCTCGACAATCGCCTGCACCTCCTTGGTCAACGGCCACTCCTTCATTGTCGTCACGTACTTGGCGATATCCTTAGTCACCATCAAGCCACCGGTGGCGTTGACTGAGAACTTCTTGAAGTGCTCAAACAAGAGCGAGTGGACGGCCAGGGCGAGTTCGGAGCTGAACAGCTCAAGGTTGTGGCCGTCGATAGCCAGCGCGGCCTGCGCCGCCACCTTGGAGGCCAAGAACGTGCAGATAGCCTGGCAGGTGGGCGTCTGCAGGTCGACGAAGCCTTCGAGGTCGTTGTCGCGGGGCCGGTAGTCCGTCTTCTTCTGGCCCGCCAGGATCTTGGCGACCCAGTTGACCGCCACATCCATGGTACTCTTGAGGACGGCGTTGGTCTTCCGCTCCGTGGCCTCGATGGCTTGCTTGGCTTGGGCCTCCATGCTGCGGCGCAGGGCTGTGTTGGACTCGGCAAGCCGGATCAGCACAGTTGTGATGAACCGCGACATGAGGTTCGTGATGGTGACGGCCGGTTTGATGTGAGGGAGGTACGAGAGGTCAGGTTCCGTCTTGATGTTCTCCTGCGACGTGGCAGTGTCCAAGGCGGCATCGAGGGCAGTCTCAACGTAGACTTGGCCCATGCTGGTAAGGAGAAGGTTGAGCAAGATGTTGATGTCTTTGGGGGTTTCGCTTCCCGAACCCATCTCGAGCGTTCTGCGCACGCTTTCGGCCAACCAGACAATCATGCGCTTGGCGTTCTGTACGCTCAGGCGGCCGTGCTCCTCCGACACTTCGATCTCGTTCTTGTTGCTGCTATTGTCTTGCAGACCGGCAACCTTCAACATCATGCGCTTCTGAGTGGGCGTAAGGTCTGACGAATCGAGTCGCTCCATATAGGCATCTTTAGCGGTTGCCAACAGCTGAGTGCCCTGTTGGGCAATAGCGGCCATGAAGCCCGAGGGAGCCTTCTTTCTGCGTGAGTGATACAAGGTGAACTTGAAGAGCAACGAATTGTACAGTTCCTCCAGACTCTTCCTTTCCCTGTCGATGTATGAGTTTTGAAGTAAATAGGGGACGAATAATTCCTCTAGCTGCTGATCAAGAGTCTGTGATATTTGGGCAGAGCATGGTTCCGGGTGCTCTGTAAGACCGTGGGTTTTGAGGTCTTCCACCAGGGCACCAATGTAGGATCTCGACGCATGCAAGGAGCGTAAATAGGCGAGCGATGAAATTGTCGTCGCTTTGTCCAGTAGCATCTCCAGTCGTTGTTGAATAGACTGCTGGAAGACACGCTGTATAAACTTGATGAGGACTGTTTCGTAGTATGGGAAGGCACGCTTAATGATAAAAGATTCCTCCTGCATCACGATCTTGACCTCGTCAACAAGAGATTGCAGACTGGGCTCGACACCTGGTGGGTCGGAATCGGGATCAGCCAGTTGCTCCCACATCTCGCCATCCGTCGTAACCTCGTCGGTGATGAGCTGGTCTCGGTCGATAAAGAACTGGTGCTGGTTCACGAAGGCGGCGATGACGCTGGCACCGCCGTGGAAATCGTAGAGGACCTTTGCGCACTCCATCATGTCGTCGAAATTTTGCCGGCGGTAACTGTTGTTAAACTGCTTCAGAAGGTCTTGCTCAAGATGCTCGCAGAACTTTTCGAGAGCCTCCCTAGTGTTGTGCTTCCGCGTAGCGCCGTTGGCGATGCCATTGGCACGGAGGCCACCTGTTACCCACGAAAAAGGGTCTAGTCTCTGACTGATGCGCATAAGCTGGCGAGCAATGACGGCGCAGCGAACCTTGTTCTCGGCACCGCCCTGTCTCTGAATCTCCTCGAGCGAGGTGAGTTGGCCTGTCTCGGAAACCTCTGTCCAGCACTGAATCAGGAAGTTGGCGTCCTGCGCCTTCCTCCGTTTCCTATCCAGCTCCTCCAGCTTCTCTCCAATCTGAACGGCAATGTTTCCTCCACCATCAGGTCGGCCGTGTCCGTTCATGGAGCCGCTATTTGTGCTGGAGTTATTCAGGGTCAAGTCGAGGGCCTCGAACTGGGCCATTGACTGGTCTAGCTTCCGACCAAGAGTATCGAGAGTCTGGTCATGTTGAATCTCTGCTCGCCGAACCTGTGATAAGAGCTCTGATTCCTTCTCTTGCAACTCCTTGCTCAGAGTGCCCAACTGTGACAGCGCATTCTCGAAGGTCCGGATGAGGGGCTTGGGGTCAAAGGGGGTGCTCGCACTCGTGGGGTTGGAGCGGCGGTTCGCTGGAAAGGCAGTGTCGGCGAGGGAATCGACAAAGTCGCGTACAATGAAGTCTTTACTGGAGAAGTCGTCGATGGTGAAGCTGGGGCCCTTGGGGAAGAGCCCGGGGCCGGGGGACCTCGTGGTGCCGGGTCCGCCGCGTTCCATGGCGGCGTGTGTCACCTGGCAGGGAGATCGAGAGAGCGCATCAAGCTGGGTGTGTGTTTACGATGGGAGACGCTGTGATTCTCGAGAGTCGAAATTATTGAAGTTAAAATGGTTGTCGGTGTAGTCGTAGATGCATTACGCGACGCTGCTGAGCTGTTGTCGTATCAACCCATACCGCGGAGTTGAAGGTGTGTAGAGGTATGCACGGCGTGGAAGGGTGGGTGGTCACCGTTAGGCCTGGGGTGGAGGAGGTGTAGCGGGAGGGGTGCCAGGGGCTGTCCGGGGGAGTTGCAGAGCGTCGTGAGGATGTCGTTCCCTGCCGTCGCGGGTACCTCTGCGGGCACGGATTGGGGAATTTCATATGATTGAACCCACCACCACGCCGGGCAACGTACGTCGGGTTGGATTGTGTCCCACTCTTTTGTGGCCCAACTTTAACCTGGTCCCTGCGCTTTCTTCAGCCACAGTTACCAGTCGTAAGGATAGGTTTTTGGTGGGGAACAGAGGGGAACTTTCAGATGTTTCTTTCCCGAGATAATCTGACATCAGACAGGGATCTCGTGGACGGTTCGAGGGAAGCTGCCAGAGTGGTGGTTTTGGGATGATTTCCCGCTCGCTACATAGAGGTAGGTACTGACCACGGTGCTGCGGTAGCCAACTGGGGTATGATAGCTGCAAGCAACTGAATCCACCTTCAGCAGCCTGCACTTACCTATCTTTTAGAACTTCCAACTGGCCCCATTCTTTTTCTCGTCAGCCTCTCTTTCTGCTCGCTCGTTTTATGCGCAACTAGACCCTCAGCGGTGGACTGACTCTGAACTGCATCTTGCCATCCTCCTCCTCAACGCTCTCCTTTTCTGTGTCGGCCCGTGTATCCTGCGGTTATCCCAAGACCCCCGCCATCGTCGTCCCAACACTCGTCCTGTCATATCGTACATAGGTATTGCCACAGTCTTCCGGCCGAGGTGCGACAAGGCCCATTGCGACGACCGTTGCGCGACAGCCTCCACGTCAACATGTTCAAACCACGGGATATCGAAGCCTACCGGCGCGATGAGAAACTCGGCCACAAAATGCTTACGCCCGAAGGGAGGATAAGGCTGCTCAAGGTACGTCTGCTCCTGATGCGTCATGGCTTAAAGAGTTGACTGCTAACCTTTGTGATAGCCCTATCTGCCTTCGCCCCCTTTGCACCCCTCGGAGCAAGCCAGCAAACGAGCAATGGAAGAGCAACAGAGGCTAGGAGTACGGCGCTTTTTGAAGACGCACTGGCACCTCCTGGTCTTTACTATCATACATGCTCTGTTCTCGCTCTACATCCGAATCCGCCAAGCATACCACCAAGTCTTCAACAAAGTGTCTTCCATCTATCACCACCACCACCGGGCGCCCGATCTGATTTACAACGATGTCAAGGACCTGCGAAGGCTACCAAACCACCTAAGTGTTATCTTGACCTTGGACGAGGACGCTAGAGGCGGTACCGGCCTGGCCAAGCTGATTGAGGAAGCTTCGGACATTGCTGCTTGGTGCGCAAGTGCCCGGATTCCTCAGCTGTCCATTTATGAAAAAACCGGTACGTGGATCTTCCAACACGGAGCTTGACTCCAACTACAAAGCTAGGGAAAAAAAGACTAATATCATTTCCCACCAATCAGGAACATTGAAGGGTTATCTTCCTCGCGTTCACAGATCCATGACACAAAAGCTTGCCGCATACTTCGGACCGAACACTCCCGGCATTGGGATTAGAGCACCTCACTGCCCTTCGATGGAGACAGCCCCAACTCTTGCCGCAAGCCGTAGCGAGAACGATGGCATCAAGCATCTCTCTGTCATGATTCTATCAGCGGAGGACGGCCGCGATTCCATAGTCGATCTTACCAAAACCCTCGCTGATATGTCTCAGCGGGGCAAGATCTCGACTTCGGATATCACAATTGAACTAGTCGATGCGGAGTTGAGCGAGAGTGTCATGGGCGAACCGGACCTTCTTCTGTTGTTTGGCCCCCGTGTCGAACTGGTTGGCTATCCCCCATGGCAAGTTCGCTTGACTGAGATCTCTCATGTCCAGGACAATGAGGGGGTCAATTATCAGGTTTTCTATCGGGGACTTTTGAAGTATGCCGGCGCACAAATGCGCTGGGGAAGGTAGAACCGAGCGGTACCAGGTGGTCAGTGGCTGGAACCCGAGTGCAATCGACTTAATCGGGTGACGCAGTGGTTGGATTCAATTGGCGGTTAACACATGAGGTTTATAGATTTACGACTCTGCAAGCATGCGAGCGGGGAATATTCATCTGTTTATCATTATTCTATCTGATGCATTAGAAGTTTCCTCAGCTGAAAAGGGATGTCTGCTACTCGGGCGAAGAGAGATATGATTGAGTCGGAGACAAGAGTGAACTGGGAGAAAGATATTGATCACCCAACAATGGCTCTCGACTCGGACTGGCTGACATCAAGAAACAGTATTAGAATGTGATATGCAAGGAGATACAATGGTCAATATCAAAAGGACAGGACTGAAGTGGTCGGCTCAGGACATATGCCTGTATCAGCCACTCATGACGTTCCGCTACGATGCAGCCTTGTCCTAAAGGGCAGAGATAAGATAATTCAGCCACACCTTGGTGTGGGGCGCTCTGTTTATTGCAGTTTAGCCTTGCGGTTGCCCCGTAACAAAGTTTCACTTCATTCGCCCAATTTGTATTTTACGAAAGGTGAGTTGAGCTTCCAAAAAGACAGGACACTCCACCAATCCACTGGACACAGTAGTGTATTGAGTCGTCTAAACCAGTTTCACTAACCATGTCTCAATCAGAAAAGGAAAACCAGGGGAGTGGGGAAGGGAAGACTCAAGATATGGCCATTTTCAGCCCACCCGTAGTTCGTTCAGGCGCTGGCGCCCTCAACCGGGCTCTGTTCACAAAGACTGTCAACCTGGCTGCCGCCGCCGTTAACGATAACCGTCTTATATCCAAGTACAGAAAAGAGCTTGAGCACAGCAAGGAGCTCTTGCGCCAGGACAGACTGTCCCCTATTGTGAATCACCCAGACAAGGCCCTCGCCGACCAAGGAAAGAAATGCCTGCTTCTTAGCCCCAACGTCAAGGCACCAGGTTAGAAAAATCATGGCCATCAGAAACATAATCGAAGACTAATCATTTTGTCTGCTTTTTCTTCTTCTTTCAGAACCAGAGACTTGGGGGGCTGTTCTCAAGGAAGGTGTCCAGAAGAAGGAGTTGTCTGTTATTCCTTGTGAGCTCCAGCTCAACTATGACTACTGGACATATCGTATGAAACCTGTATCAAGACCCTCCTCATACCAGTTTCACTTAATTAACGGTTGCCTGCAGATGATATCATCACCTCTATTCTTCCAGAGGAACTTCATGACGATATTCCCTCTGGCTTCAACACCGCTGGCCATGTCGGTGAGTGAGAATGGACACTGGCCTGCCGTTCTCTCAGCTTGTTGTTTCTAACCAGAGTCCAGCCCACATGAACCTACGCGAGCGTTACATCCCCTACAAGAAGGTGATTGCCGAGGTCATCCTGGACAAGACCACCAACATCCGAACCGTCATCAACAAGGTTGACAATGTCGGAGCCGAATCCGAGTTCAGGACCTTCCAGTATGAAGTTTTGGCTGGTCCCGACGACATGCAGGTCCAGGTCACCGAGAACGCCTGCTCTTTCGAGTTTGACTACTCAAAGGTGTACTGGAACAGCAAGCTGGAAGCGGAGCACCGCAGGCTCATCAACATGTTCGAGCCCGGCGAGGTGGTGTGTGATGTCATGGCTGGCATAGGCCCTTTTGCGGTCCCGGCTGGCAAGAAGGGCGTCTTTGTCTGGGCTAACGACATGAACCCCGAGAGCAACAAGTACATGCAGGTGGCCATTAACAGGAACAAGGTATGATCTTTTCCATCATCACAGATCCTGCTTTTTGGTCTTTTTTTTGGACTCTAATCTAGCACCCAGGTCTCGCAATACGTCCGCCCCTTCTGCGAAGACGGCCGGACCTTCATCCACCACGCCGCCGACTCAGTCCTCGAAGCCCACAAGAACGGCGAGCACGTCCTCATCGCCCCCAAGCCGCCCTCGCGCGCCAAGAAGGCTCCCAAGCCGGAGCCCAAGCGCGTCGACATCCCGCCCACCATCTCGCACTTCGTCATGAACCTGCCCGCCACCGCCATCGAGTTCTTGGGCTGCTACCGCGGTGTGTACGCCGGCCACGAGGACCTTTTCTCTGCCGAAAGCGGTCGCAAACTGCCCCTCGTGCACGTCCACTGCTTCTCCTTCAAGGCTGATGATGAGACACCCCTCAACGATATCTGTGAGAGGATCACCAAGTATTTGGGCTTCCCTGTTAAACCGGGTAATCCGGATGTGGAGGGCGAGGTGGCGGTTCATGATGTTAGGGATGTGGCGCCGGCTAAGAGGATGTTTTGCGCTAGCTTCAGGATTCCGAGGGAGGTTGCATTTGCGGAGAGAGTGTAAGGTAGCGATTTTGCGGCTTTTGCCAACTGGATGGCTGGACGGCCGGCTGGCTACTGGACGCTCTGCCTACGTGATCGGTGGTCTATGGCTTTTCACTGTTGATTTTGGTCCATTGCAAGCTGGAAGAGGATGGATGGATACCCCGGATATCACGGAGACGCTTGGGAGAGAGGTCTTGTTCGTCGGCGATCTTGGGGGACTTCTATGTTTACCAATTTAGAAAATATCTTGCCTAGATTGCGCTGTAAGCTAGCTGGGAAAAGGAACAAGTTCAAGAGACAGGTGTGACTGACTTGGGGGCCAGGGGATTCATCGTCACCCTCAACAAGTTGGTGTTATTCGAGTATCACCGTGACTCAATGAGAGCAACAACGAAGGCAATGACAAACCTTTGACACTACTACTTGCGCCGAATGAGTTGAGGAAATCGACACGAAGACACGTGGCTAGTGAACCGAATCTCGCGGATCATCCCGCTGTACGGCCGACTCCAGTCGTCTTGACTCGATTCTTTTGGTAGTCTCTCCACTTCATCTCAGTTTCGCTAGAAAAGTGTTGGAGTGTGAAGGTGATGATGATGTGATCGATGGGCACACTCTTGGGGGTGTGTATTGAGAGTAGAGAGCGGGCGCTAGTGTCATTCATATCCACCTCAGCTTTCCTCCTACTACAACATTGGACAACGCGGGCATGTGATGAAGGAAGGGAGGAAAGCTTGATGGACGGCGATAGACAGGTACCGGTGTTAGAATCCCTGCTTCAAGACTAGCATGTTTTTGTCATGGCTGAACACGGTCTCAATTGCCATCTTATGATTCGTTTCGTTTCGTTTCCCCTGTCGAAGTCGTCATCGGTCGATAACCGTTAGCTACTTCCCCCTGACCTGTAAATAGTAGGTATTGCTGTGTAGAGGTATGGATGTTATCAGTCGGTCAACCGCTCCGGTAACGGTGAAACATTCAATCTCCATATTGAAACCCTGCTTCTCGTCTTCTTTTATCTGCTTCTGCATGACCGTCGGAGATCTACGTCTAGGCTTTAGTTTAGTGTTGGCTTTATTTCCGACTCAGGTACCTTTGTGCCTTGCAAACACGGTGTCAGTCCCCACAGCCTCCAGATACACACACATGCAAACTTTTGACAAAGGAGCCAAAATTTCAATCCTTAATAGTATACGCGCATGGAGCTGCGCGGAGGTGAAAGTTACGCTCATTATAGTACTTGATGAGGCGAATTCGATGGTAGTCTTTTTCTCTTTCTATCTCTAATACTCATTGAGATTTTAATGATTGAAATTCTGACCCTTTTTCCTTCCAAATGTTGTGAAAAGTGGATCATTGCAATTACGGTGTCAGTCTCCACTTTCATCTTCATTATTAAATTTGTACAATTTTTTGAATATTTGCAAAATCTTAATGCATTTTGGAGAGAAAAGGGAAAAGAGACTACCGTTGGATTCGCCTCATTAAGTACTATTAGGAGCGTAATTTTCACCTCCGCGCAGCTCGATGCGCGTGTGCTATTAAGGATTGAAGTTCAGACTCCTTTGTCAAAAGACTGCATGTGTGTGTATTTCGAGGCTAAAAGCGGGGACTGACACCGTGATTGTAAGGCACAACTAGCGAGCCTATTTGGCCATGCCACGAAGTCGAACGGCGTCGCTTGGCGGTCTGGCTTTCCCCCTTCCCATTTTATCCATTTTGGTACTTGAACTCTCTTATCCATAGAGGTAGCGATGCAGCACTGTTGGCCATTGAAACCTTCCTGCTTCATGATTTCTCGGGGCAAAGAAGGGGAGGGGAGAGTCTTGTTTTTTTTTTTTTTTTTTTTTTTTTTTTTTTTTTTTTTTTCCTTGTTTGTTGAGTGGGTGTAGGATGTGTGGTGATGTCGATAAAGACATGCCAGGGAAGGAACCACTTAAAAGTGACACTGGCCTAAAAGTTGAAGCCCTGTACTTTACCTGCAACTACCTATAAGTAGAGGTAGCTTCCACAGGGGCAGTCTTTCAAGTGGAAGCCAGAGGTTCTGAATTGCACTGATCCTCCACAGCCGGAGGAGCCGCCTTGTCCTTAGCACTTTCCGTTTCTCCCCAGGAAGCCTTCACGATTTTGAACTGTGTTGAATTCTGGTAAAATAACGAACTCTCCCGTCTTTGCCGATCTCAACCTCTTCCCATTGAAAAGAGTTGGCAAGTGCAGACAACGAAAACCGGCAAGCATTGGCCAACAGGTGGTGTGAACTGGAAGTGATGCTTGCGATAGCACTCAACGGTCCTCTTCGGTCATTGTACTTTGGATGGCTACTTCCGCGCTAGAGAATGATAGCCTGGATGCTTCTGTAGTACAAATAGCCTCACAAACGCTCATAACAATTCTCGACACTCACTGCTTCGATGCCGATACGTGGAATACGTGATCCAATTCGTTTGCCATGTTCCTTCCCTAGGTGTGTAGTCGTCATGTTTTTGCAAGTCTAGCGATATGCAAGGTCCACAAGACACTGGGTTCCACCGCGAGCCTCAAGTGCTTGGCCCTTTTGATTGAAAGCCTGTGTGCATACGACATCAAGTGGATTAAACACACGTCCGAACCGGCGGGTGAGCTCATGTGCCGTCGAAGTAGGTATTTCTCGGCTGGCATCTACCTGCCACTATTTTTGTATGGCACGCATCGGCCCGAGGGTGAGCTGGAAGAAACATGCCATCACCACATCTGAAGCTGGAGCAAGTCTCGATCGGATAGTGGACATATCGATTGATTAAGAAGGGGAACCATCGTTGGGTGGTGCTATCAGCGAAAAAGTTCGAGCTTCCTTGGTACCATAGTGGTCGATAGATAGATGGACGGACACCTCTATATAGATGAGCGGGTGGTGGTGTGGTTGTAGAGATTTAGATTGCTTGCATGTCACGGTCAACGCATGGCGTTTCCGTCAGTGCACCTCGGCGTGTGCGCAGATGTCTTTTTAGTGCAGTGGTTTTATCTTCTAGGTAGATATGAAATGGTGTTGTTGTGTTCCGTGGGACGTCGGAAAATCCATGTTGTGTTGGTGTAATGGGAATTGATGAATCAGTCGATGTACATTACCGGTAAGGGTCAATCAATGTCTTGCCGCGTAATCGACTGCTTATGTCTTGATGAATTACATACCTACTACTGTAGTCCTGGAACCAACAAGGTGTGTGGTGCCTGGTGTCACGAACGGTTCTCTATACATGGGTTATACGGAAGCTATAGTTCTTCAACGTCCACATGTCTGTGACTAGCGCGCTAGTCAATGTTTTTTCAGTTGAAGATCAAGAAGAAGGAGATGACATTCTTCATGGCACAATAATGTGTGGTCAAAGGGTGTTCTCAAAAGCCAACGTCTGTCTGTCTCTCGTCAGTCCTCATCGCGAACTCACCTCATTGATTAACAGGTTATTATCAATGCCCTTGATGCTGCAAAGATCCATGCGGAAATCCCTGGAGAATAGGCGGTCTCCCAAAACCTACCGACCAATAGAGACCCGGAGAGAAGGCTAGAAGAGGATATGTGCGCGAGTGAAATTGAAAGTCAAGGAAAGAGGAGGGGAAACTACTGACTACACAAATTGCATGATAGGGCCGGAGAGAATCTCCCTCTCCTTAGGCTGTCAAATTCGACTCAAAAAACATACTTTCACCTCAACTAGGGCAGTATAGGAGGGTAGGAACTGATGCAATGAGACTCCCCGGAAATGCAGTTAATGGTCAATGAGGCAGGCACATCGTGGTTGATGGCAGGGTGTGGTAGTATCAATACCCAGGGATAATCACATCCGCGGGCCGAGTTCGCATACCCGCATGTCTTTGTGCTCGTTGAACCCAATTATCTGATAGTGCACATTTACACAGAATCTTCTGAACAGTGAGTGTATGGCGTGTAGAGTATTTTGTGGAGGGTACGGAGAAGAAGTATCACATATCACATTACATGCAACAATACTAGTAAAAGGACCATGTATGTGATGGCAAGAAACTATTCTAGGGAACGTTGTATGCAAAGGAATACCAACTCGGTGGCCGGGTGACGGCCCAAGTGCGGTGATAAGGGACGGGCGGGAGCTATTGAACTCGTCATGAATGTCTTGAAAGACTGCTTGGTTAGACATTGTTGACTACACGGGGCGGGGAAAGGGACGGTAAAGGCCAAGCAAGATAGGGCAAGGAAAAATTGAATTTGAGACAACCGGGTTTCCTGTTGCTTGACGATGTTCCAGAAGGACAACAAAGGAACCGATAGGGGAACAAGGGGTCTAGACTCTAGAAGAGGTACTCCTTCGCAGTACCCTTTCCGATCTCATCTGTCAATGTCCCCTCGCTTCCGTGTGTACCGCTTCCGTCCCGCTGATGATCACCAAATCCTCTTCCGGGATGGGGAACAATGAGCGGCTTTTTGAGTAGATGGCGCGTTTATGAAGTCTTATCGGACCCAAGTATCTCTAAAGGTGGGTGGAGGATGATTGGCCAATCACCGGCATCCAATCGCTCTAGCTGTGACCGAGTACAGCAAGTCAACACTCAAATGGTGACCATGAGTCGAGTCCATCGGACAGCGTCTCAATGCCTACAGGTATTAAGCTTCAAAGATGAAGCATTTCATTGGTTAGATGGCCGCACGGTTTCTTCTTCCAATAATGAGGAGCTCCTATACAAACGGCAGAGATGGTGTTAGATTATTGCACGACACGTTATCAATTTCTCCGTGCATTAAACCCGTAGCTGGTAGAACATGAGGATAAGAACTTATTGGGGGTGGATATTGGCAAGAGCCGCAGTTATCATTTGATTCAATCAAAGATGAGCGGATGAACACCTTCTGGAGTCGTAGGTATGTATTCCCTCACCTGCGGGTCAAACTTACACAGAAGAAAAGAAAGATGGAAGGACCCGTCAGTAATGACATTGAGAAGATCCTGGAATATATTATCATTGCAGGCGTAGAACTAAGGCAAAAGAAGGCTCCAAACCTTTACCCGTCACCTCATACTGAAGTCTTCCGTCCTCAGGCCCTCAACCAAGCACGGTAAACAGGGTGATGTCAGAAGTCCCGACTTGCCGGGTCCCCATGCTGTCATTCCATGTTCGTTCGACCATCGGTTCGGCTCAGTTCGTCCGAGCGACAAACCACCTTGCCCATGGCCGTTTTACTTACTCCATATGTCTCGCAGTTATTACCTCTAGGTTTATCACTGAACTCGTGAGATTCTAAATATATGCAGAGGTAGGTATAAACTTTGCTATATCCGGCCACTGGGGTTTAGTCTTGGCATTCGAGATTTCGATTTACCCTCCGACGACATTGTGCTGCTCTGCCGCTTTGTTTGGTCGTTGATCGGTAGAGCAATCCCTATATGAATAGTAGTCAGCAGTTTTGGATCGCTATTCTTTGCCCTTCATTTCGTTTATCAGTGGCCCTTGATATAGGACTAAGTACTTATCTCAATTCCACTTGGGGTGTCCAGTTGGAACAGGTGGGGTTCACCTACCGGCATCTACTTCATTAACCTAAACGTGTACTGCGAATAGGATCCATGTGACTTTCTTATGTAACGTGAGTGGACGGTTGATGCTTACCTCTACCTTCTTTGTCGGGCAGTAGCAATTGCGCTTCCGTAGCCAGTCGATATGTGCTTCTGTATCTCTTGTGAAGCCATGCCGTTCCTGACATGAAGAGATAGATACCCTTCACAGTAACAATTCTGGTCCCTTCATACCAGAACAATCCTCGTTTCTCGTTTCCGGGAATTTGTTCTCGCCTTGAGGTCCGGTGCTGGTCCCATAGAAAGTAAGTTTATAATATAGGGGTGATCAACTCCTATTAGGCTTGCGTGTTCAAGACACAGTGTGGTTGGCGCCTGCAGGCTTTGGAGAGGCGTTATAAGCGAGCCTTGAACTTTCAACTTGATACCTCCTTTACATCTCCTGGGCTGCCAATCTGAGCGCGTATGCTAATTGCTGTTGTGTTAAGGTACCCGTTGGGGAGGGCGGGGTGAGGTTTTCTGTTTGTTTCCCAACTCTGCTTTAATGCCGACAACTACTGTCGGCCAGCTTGGGTTGATGAAAGCTAAGAAAGTGCTGCCGACGTCGTCATCACCTCATCTTGTCTTTACCTCCGCCCTTTAACCGATAGCGAGCGTAAGTACTGCATAAAAACCGAGGGATCACCAAACCCGCTCACCCGAAGAACATGTTGATGGATAGTGGTGACGATTACAGAATAGAGCAAAATCTATGCAAATCTATGTATCCTGGAAGGCTGTGTATATAGCGGATCGGTTTCAACTGGTTTCTCGGACCCAGCTCGTGGATCGCTCCACACATTCCGCAATTTAACGCCCCGTGGTACACCACAGACACTGCATGGAAGAATGAAATGGGGTGGCGGTGGAGTTTCTGGGGATCAAAGTCCGGGGTAACCGCCTTAACAGGTCAAGAAATTTGCTCCCGTGACGACGAATCCCCCAGGCTCAACACCATGGTTTCCTCTTTGGCAACCCAAGCCCATACGCTGGTTTGACGGGCATGGGCTCACGGGCTGTCCGATTCTGCCGGGGTGAGGGTGCCAAACCACTGCAAATCACTTGTCGTGAGTTGCGAGCGCTGCTTGTTGCTTGCTGACTGCCGGTACAACCAAGTAGGTAGTCTAATTAACAGGTCACGAGCATCTCCGGATTTCCTTTCGTATACATACTTGGGCGGGTTTCAGTTGTCAAAAGCGGGGTAGATTGGGCATGTACTGTACTTCCAAATGTGCATCTTGAATGGCGAGAAAAGGGCTTAATGCATGTCAGCCCCTTTCAGATGTCGGGGCCGGCTGTTGATGATGCTCTAGAAGAAGCCTGGTTCGAGAACAATAAGCCCTTTTTTTTTGTCACACTTTTTACTTACGTGATAGGGCAGCGCGGAAACATGGACAGAATTATCGATCAAACGTGCAGTTTTTCGCTCTTCTTCTGTTCGGCAACGGCACTGGATGTTTGATGAGTTCGCCGGGCGGAGCCATGATGACCATGATCCATATCCAAGCGCTACCATCTGGCCGAGGGAAATCCTTTCTTGACACCGGGAGAAGTCGGAGCAACGCAGGTAGATTTTGGTTGAGCATGTGTGAATATGAACATGCCGTTCCGTCGGTAGGTGTCTTCATATCATGTGCCAACCTTAAGGGACAGACCACAGGCAGTGTATGAAAATGCTAAACTGCCGAGTTGCTTGCATGTCGTCTTGGGGGTCTCGGTCGTTCTCGGTTTTCTGGAAGGGAGGGATGTGCAGACGGGACGGACGAAGAAGTGTCGAAGTGGAAAGGCCGAACTTGTCCAAGCGAGGCCGGGCTGTTGTTCCCTGGCTCCCTCGCTGTGGGCCTCTGGAAGATCATGGATGGCAAGTACCTAGGTAGTGTAGTGTACCTGTCCAGTGTCCAGTACATAGTAGACTAGCTCCTTCCTTCTAGACTCCCAAGTACCGGTACATCACAGGTGGAGAATCTGCCCTGTGCTTGAAGAATCAAACTTCATCTGGGGTGACTCGAGAGTAGGTAGCGACGAGGGGCGACCAATGAGACACTGTCGGTCGACTGAGTGCCATCCAAGGTTGAGATTGAAATTTTCTTCTGGATGGCCCTGATGACCAAAACGACTGTTCTCGAGTACCACTGTGCACCCCCATGACGGTCCGAAGCGCGGGGGTTGCCGTGCGACGTAACGGCCGGGGACTTTGAACCATTTCACAAGTTTACAGGCACGAGGGTGCTCTTTGCTCGACTTATCCGCCCGATTTTCGTCCCGTCTGGTGCGGGGGTCGCAAGGTACGGCGCTCCGGAATAAGTCGAGATCGAGGCTGTCGTCTTTGAAAGTCAATATGTTCAACCTACCTGGAGTTTCTACTTCGGTGTAGGCCGGAACTTTGGGACCGGTGAGCAAAGAGGTGATCCAAGGGCCTTGACAAGTTGACGGAGGGAGGTATCACAAATTGTCCTTGGTTGAACCCAAGAACCCGCGGACGACTGAATTGAGCAAAGAAAAGCATGGAACCCGCACAGGCGCAATGCAATTTAAGGGACCGAGGACCGAGTTAATGAATGAAAGCATGAAACCAATGCTGGGATTGAACGCCTGGCGCCGGACAACAAACTCCCGTCTATGTGACTAAAAGAGAAACAGCCGTTTGACCAGGCAGAGCAGTCGAGAAGGTCACACGGGCCAGGCGTGCCTTGATTGTCCCCTGTCCACTTCATTCCATTCCATCCGGACCATCCAGAACACTTCAGCTTCAACGTGGTGAAGCGGGCCAACCGCGAGCCTCCGTCATTCGTAGGTGGCCCCGAAGCTCACCCAAGTCACCAAAGTCACGAAAGACGGTCCTCGTCAATGTCCGCCGTGTCCGCGTTATCTCCCAGAAAACTTCAAAATGCCCTTCTCCATCAGGCCGTCTGACATTGCGGCAGGGCTTCCACGCTTCAACGGATTCTCAGTCCCGATTCTCGAAACTCACTCATCACCTGGTGCCGGAAATTGCTTCATCAGATTTTGGACTCGCCTTGCCCCTTCTCGAGTTCACGCTTGCTTGGCTTTGTTCCTTTGGATGCACGGGCACTTCCAGACCGCCTCTGGTGCCGTTGTCTTGCTTCTCTCGACGTTCGGCAGCACACGGAATAGAGCAGCATTGAGGACGGGTTTTTTTTTTGGTTTTTTTTTTTTCTTTGCCTGCGTAGCTCGCTTCTTACCCTGAAATCCCTGCTCCTCATTTGGACGTCGTCCCCCAATCGCGAATCCCCGAGCGACTCTGGCAGGCTTTTTGGCCGCTGTACCCCAGTGCTTGCTGGGAATTGTACCTAGGTATGTAATTCCATTTCTTTTCCTCAGATTGTTAGTACCGTAAGGTGAGGTTGATTTACTACGGTGACCAGCACTCACCAACCGCCAGTCATTTTATGCTCTTCCATACGTCTCGAAAAGTAAAGGTAGACAAGGCTGGAAATGAGCTTGTAAATATACTATGGCCGTTTGCGAACTGTATGATCATGCTTTGGACAATCACCTTACATAGTACACTGCGGTTAGCCCATCGTGACCTCTGACCCACACATAAGTCTGCGGTTGTTGAGAGGAGTGATCATCCAGACTCTGGACGCCTTCCACATTCATTGGATGTAAAAAAATGCCATGTAGGATGTAGCTGCCTGGCTCTGCGCTCACTCGCTGTACGGACCACATCCTACATTGCAGAGGTGGGCATCTGTAAGAACAAGGTACGGTAGGTCGAGCACCTAAAGCCCGGTCTGTATAACATCTCGTCGTCAAAAACAGGTGTTGCGTGCCCATCGACAGCCTGTAGCTCTGCCATGCTCCCATCCACTTGGTTACCATCGTATGGCGGAGTTGTGCGACCTGATGACAAGCAGTCTGTGGTATAAAGCAGACATGCCACCCTCGACGTCGGCGGCGGAACCCCCATGCTCTGGCAACCTCAGCGCGACCTTGGTTGCCAGACCCGTGAGGTGAAGTGTCCAGGTACTTGCCCGTTCGCTGGAAGATACCTCTAATGAGTGAATGGTACCTGGGCCCCAACAGCCGCCGAGCAACACACGCCCCCCCCGTCGACCAAGCAGCGACGAGCCCCTCCCACTGTCTGCCCACCGACCCACGACAACTATCCCACGTTCTCAGGTTCTGCCGTACACTGTGGACAGGGGCGGCCGGACCAGGGCCTGCCCACCACGGACGACCACGGGCATTTCTTGGTACCCACACCCGCTTTCCTTTTAGTGCCTTTTCACTTAACTACACCCAACTTCCCTTTACACTCCGGTGGACCGGTCACCATACACCTGCACACCCTTTCAAAGGAACTTCTCTCTCCGTCCACCACCTCCCTTACGCAAACTCCTCCCTCTCTGGCTTTTCCGAACCCGGTGCGCTCACTGCTTGAGCCTCTCTTGTTTGTCTTTTTTTCTTGCCCTTGGGACTACGCTAGCCCATCGTTACCTTAGCAGCCTGTCGCCTGTGCCAGCCTTGCCCTGTCTTTTCGCGACATGCCCATGTCCCATCTTGATTGACGGCGCTATTCTTGCACCCACTACTGGCCCTCTTTGTTCGCGAGACTCGCTACGAGACCAAAGATCAAAGCGACGACAACCCAAATTTTGCGCCGAAATCCGACATCGCTTCGCCTCACCTCCTGTCCACGGGGTCCTTATGACGGACTTTTCTGGTCGCACGTTGGAGAAGGATTGAGAAGGTGGCTTGCAGGTCACTAGGCTTTTCAGAATTTTCAGCCATGGCCGTCGTCATCACGTCTGACGACGATACGTTTTTCGGGTCGCCCTTGCGTCGATCTCAGTCGCAGCCCAAGTTCAACACCAAACGCTCGGGTTTCCATACATCGGCATCAACCTCCAGGCTCAGCGACATCTATCACCACTCGTCAAAGGCCTTCGATCACTCGGCCCCGTCCTCGGCGCCTTCTTCCCCTCGGGGCATTCACCTTGAGTCGTCCGAGCTGTCGGATTCCTCTACGCCTGTCACGAACCCTTCTCTTACTTCGGACAGCGACGATGAAGATGTTCTAGAAGCCGCGATTTCGAGGCGAGGCTTTGGGGGCCGCCTGTCGCGTTATGAGGAGGATGTGGGTTATTTCAACCATGTGGAGCATTCGGGACCCCCACCCAGTCCGCGAACGGATCAGTCATACACTTCCTCGCCGTCTGGAAATGATACGTCCACTCCCACCTCCCGACCCGAGTCTCCGGAGCTTGTTTACGATAGGGCTGAGGACGATATAGCGATCAAGATACAGCCTTCTAGACATGTGGACTACCTCTCGCACAATTGGCGCGAGGAGGACATCTGGTCATCTTGGAAGCATATTGTTGCCAGAAGGGGAGATTATGCCAACTCGGCTCGGCTAGAGAATGCCTCTTGGAGGACATGGATGAAGTCTAAGAACAACCTCGGCACAGTTTCTCCGGAGACGTTGAACTGGTATGTTCTCCTGCTGGTTTGCGCCATCATGTTCTGGGTAACTGATGATTTCACAGGTTGAAAGATTGCGATGTCACATGGCTATACGGACCCTTGCAGACTGGCCCTTCGATACACTCCAATACCTCGAGTAACGACAGAACAAGGATGTCCAAGACCAACTCGTTCGCGAAAAAGCCCATTCTCAAGAAGAGGAGTATGTCGGAGCTCATGCTTCAGAGATCTCTGTCCGCGTCCTCGCTCGTCAAACAGGCGGCGGCAGCTGTACAAGCACAACAGAAAGGATGCCTGAAGAAGACTAGTCGACGACCGGGTCTAGACCGAGCCAACACTGATTTTGTTACCTTCCCATTCTCGTCTCGCGGTCTCAGTAATGACAATAGTTTGTTTGCGACAGCCGTGTCTTCCGGTCTCGTGTCTCCGAGTGGTGAACGGAAGCATATTCACTTCAACGAGCAGGTAGCACAGTGCATTGCTGTGGAAATCAAAGGAGACGACGATGAAGACGACGTCGAGCCCGAAATCAACTACAACAGCGATTCGGATGACGACGCAATCATGATGAAGCGGACCAAGGGGAAGAAGCTGAGACCTATATTAAAAAGGTCAAAAAGTCACAGCCACAGCGGTGGAGAGAGCAGGACGATTGCCATGCTGCCCTCCACCACGCTCAAGTATCGGGAGGACACCCCCGAACCAGCGGAATCGGCCATGAAGCACAGCACTGGTGTGTTTAGGGGAACAGTACTGTCCCCTTCTTCGTCTCAGGAGACGTTACGTCCGGCCAAGAAGTCCGGCAGATTCTTCGTTGACAGCGATGACGAGGACGATGAAGACGACGAACCGACGTCAAATTGGTCCTCTGCGAAATCCACGGAAGGCTCGCTCGGCGGGCTCCGTCGTTCAACTTCGTCTGCCAGTCTTTTGAAAGAACCAGCTGGCATGAGGAGAACCGAGTCGGGCATGTTCATGCCATACGAACAAGGCGAAGACTCCAACAGTGAAGGCCTTTTAGGCCGGGTCATTGATACGGTAAATACGGCCCGGGACATAGTCCACGTTATCTGGAACGTTGGGTGGAAGAGATAATCTACCACTTGGCTAGACAACTCTTATTAACCAATCATTTTTCAGAAGGAGGCCACGGCGAACAACTTGAACACACAACGATTTCGACTCGGCTGAAGTTTTTTCAACTTGAAGAACAATCACACAAAATAATTCCGCTCGATGGGCTACTATCCAAACATCGCATCTGATGCCAGAGCATGGCGCGCAAAAGTGGATCCGCAACAACGACCACGACGACGACCTGCCTACATTATTATCTCGAAGCGGCAACAACCGCAGATATACCCCGGAAGGTCTCTGAGGAGCCTTCCGGTTGCATTGATCACGACAACGCGAAAGCATGCATTGCCATGGTGTTACAGGGTTACATTAATGGTACTTGGGTTTTTTTTTTTTTTTTTTCTTTTTTTTTTTTTTTTTTTTTTTTTTCCTCCTTCCTACCACTTTGTTTTTCAAAACCACCCGGTTCAGGGTTGGCAGGGGGAGAGCCTGGCGCAGGGAGGGGTGCACTAGGTCTTCGTCACATCGATCGTCAAACAATCAATACCATTTTCCGAGTTGTGTCTTGCTTCATGTCTGACGTATAAGCTTGGTTCGGCTCGGTTTCGGGTTTCCGGTAACGGGTTGAGGAGGCTTATACCGCAGGCTTTTGGAATTCTTACTTGGCTTTGCTCTGGTGTTGGGGGAAGACAAAAATCTGCAGAGGGGAGAACAACGGCATTTGCTCTTTGAGCCCTTGGATAGTACACCTTGCCCTCAGGCGGAAAAGTGAAGTCGATATGGTCAGGAATTCAGCTCTCAGGACTTGAGGGTGGCGTTCGAGCGCCAGATGCATTTCCATGGCGTTGGACGGAGAAACCAAAAGGGGAAAAAAAAAAAAGAGTGTGTCTGGTCCTATCTTACGAATCAGCTCATGTTAACATTCATACTCCTATCCATATCACGGCGGCGCAAAAAATGATGGAGGCATTCTTATGACCGGTACTTGGTCGAAAGTGAGGGTTATTCATGTGGCTCATAGTAATTGAAAACGCCACTGTACATCCTGTGCATAGTGGTAAACAAAGATTTTCAGCCAGAACCTAGCATATTTTGAACTGTAGTCCCATCCATAGGTGTGTGATCTGGCTTGCTAGTAGTTCATTACGAAATGCTGATATTAGAGGTACTTACATACCATACCATCCAAAACGACATTCGATGCCGCCAAGAAAGTACAAAGATACCTCCCTCATATGCTGCCAGCTGGCGGCGCCGCCCAACCTGGAAGCTGGTGAACGCGTGCGTGGGAGCTGCCTGGTTGGTGGGCACCTGCGTGTAGGGAGCTCCCGCCAAACTGCCCGCCTTTCACTTGCTACCCACTGCCGCTGACGCCGCCATAGCTGCTACCTTGCCAGGCTAACAACAGTGAACGAACGCCTCCACTGACAGCCCATTTCGAACCTCAACATCGTCACCATCATCTCAACCAGTTGTCCAACTTCCGTCGTCCTCCCGCCGAACGTCTCTCCCCCTCGCAACAATCTATAGCTTCCCGAACCGTCTTTGGGAACCGCCGAACCGCATACCGAACATCGAATCCTCGTCCCTTCAAACAACTTAGTCGACCATCATGGATGCGCTTGTCGCAAGGTACAGCCGTCCGGCTTACCAGCAGAATGAGCTCTTCTCGGAAGAGGAACAGCAAGATCTTTGCGAAACCCAGCCTCCTCTGTCTCTCAAGTTTGCCATGCCTCCAGTAGCTCATGTTCGTCTCTCCTTGTCTGCCTTGTCCCGCCCTCCTCAGCACATCTCTCCCAGTACCCCTCCGGCCTCATCTCTCTCCCTGCTTGCCCTATGCTAGCTAGCTAGCTAGCTTGCTTGCTAGACCCCGTCGATGACGAGCCACAACGACGACGACAACAGTAACGATGATGATGATGATATGACAATAAGCTAACTTGTTTACCCACAACAGCCCTCCTCCTGGCTCCGCGCCGCAACCGACGACCGCGCCAACCCTTCGTGCCCCATCAAGATCGCCCACGGCACGACCACACTCGCCTTCCGGTTCCAGGGCGGCATCGTGGTGGCGACGGACTCTCGCGCGACCGCCGGCAACTGGATCGCCTCGCAAACAGTCAAGAAGGTGATCGAGATCAACAGCGACTTGCTGGGCACCATGGCGGGCGGCGCAGCCGACTGCCAGTACTGGCTGGCGTGGCTGGGCATGCAGTGCCGACTTCACGAATTGCGGCACAAGCGCCGCATCAGCGTCGCGGCGGCCTCCAAGATCCTGGCCAACCTGGTGTACCAGTACAAGGGCATGGGCCTGTCCATGGGCACCATGTGCGCCGGCGTCACCAAGGAGGAAGGACCTGCGCTTTACTACATTGATTCGGACGGCACCCGGCTGGCGGGTAACCTGTTCTGCGTTGGGTCTGGTCAGACTTTTGCCTATGGCGTCCTGGATGCCGAGTATAGATACGACCTGACAGTGGAAGAGGCGCTCGAGCTGGGCAGCAGGAGCATTTTGGCCGCTACACATCGTGATGCTTACTCTGGTGGCTTCATCAATCTGTACCACGTCAAGGAGTCGGGATGGGAGAAGCACGGCTTCAACGACACAAACCCCATCTTCTGGAGGACCAAGCTGGAGAAGGGCGAGTTTAGCAACGTCACCAGCGACTTCAACGAGGATGATTCAACCCGCGTTTAAGAGAGGAAGAGGAATGAGGGACAGAAAGTAGTGATCATGGCTTGACTGCCCTGGGACTGAATGGACGGATGTCAGTGATGCAGGGGCACTTGGCCAGCAGCATACTACACATGATGAAGAAACGATATGAACAACGAATGGGTCCCCATAGCATTCTAGATTCTTACAGCCAATGTGACATTGGAATGAATCAGCTCGACAAGGCCGTATGCCTACCTTATACGTATGTGAAATCATTGTACAAGAAGGGTGATCAAAAGCAATCAAAGTCCTGACGTCCCAAGTCTAGAAAGCACGCTTGATTTCCCTTTCCACCGAGCTATATCCATATCAATAATAATAATACATTCTACGCTTCTGACTGCTGCTCTCATACAGATGAACTGTTATTACACAAGACATAACAAAGTACCCTAGCGCCCCAAACACCCATCACCCATGCACATTTGTTCTTTCTCAACCTAGCAGTCGCGATACTCCCAGTTAAGCCTACCCGCATGGTTTCGGCTCAACGCCTCACATAAAAGGGTTTCTCCTCCGTTCCCAAGATCCCGCCCTGCTCGCCGGTCGAACTCATGCTCCACTTCTTAATTGGCAACATGTCCAACTTGCTCACCCAACCTGCCCTATACATCTCCGTCCCCGTCCACGCAATCATGGCCGCGTTGTCCGTACACAGGTTTACAGGCGGAGCCATAATCCGAATGTGTCCGAACCCGCGCACCTCCAACACGCGACGGAGAACGTGCCTCAGAAACTGGTTGCTCGCCACGCCACCAGATACCACGAGCGTCTTGACCTTTTGCTGCTCGCCCGACGTCTTGGCCTGCTGCTGGAGCACCATGACAATGCGCGAGGCGAGGTGCTCAAAGGCTAGCTGCATCGTCGCGCGGGCTAGGTAGCGGCGCTGCTCAATCTGGTGGGGTTCCTCTTTGAGGGCGGGGGAGAGAATAGTGGTGGAAGAGTCGGGTGAGGGCGCCAAGTCGGACCCGGACTTGGGAGAGTTCTCCAGCGAGAGGACTTGTTCCGTGAAATTCTCATACGAAGAAAAAATGTCTAGAGAGTCGGCAATCCGCTGTGCTTGGGATCCGAGTCCGGTGAAGTTGTACTCCATCTTCCTAGAGGCGTACAGAGGCGGCGAGAGGCGCCAGCCGTAAGGCGAGTTGTGCTGTTCGATTTCGGCGGCCCGCGTGGCTGGAGGGGTGTACTTGAAGTTGTACTCCCTCTCGTCGGCGCCGGTGGGGAAGCGGGGGAAAGCAAAGCGCTCTAGCGCGGCGGCGTACATGACATTTTGACCCGAGTTCAACATCGAGGGCGGAAGGATCTTGCGCGCGGCTTTGTCGAGCATGTCGCCCAGGGCGATGTTATCGGTCGTACACTGGATGAGATGCGACATCAGGGAGGCCGAGTAGACTAGTTGGGTGTGGCCACCAGAGACGAGCAGGTTGAGGTAGGGGTAATCGAGGTTGGGGTGCTGAGCCTCTTCCTGCTGTCTTGAGGCTGTTTTTACTTCGGCATCGACCTGTTGGCGTTCTTCCCATGGTGATGATGCGACGCTGGGAGCAGGGGGGCGGTCGAGAGCTTCGACGAGCTGCGGCGTGAGAGCGTGTGCTTGCATGTGGTGGACTCCCACGATCGGGATGCCCCAGGCCAGAGCGAGACCCTTGGCTACTTCCATGCCGGTCGCCAGGCTGGTCGGCATGCCGGGGCCACGGGTGACGGCGATGAGGTCCGGGGTCCGGTACGGCAGTCTGGTGTTCTTGTAGGCCGGCGTTTTGCCTTCGGGAAGAGACCGGATGGCCTCTTCGACCAGGGTTGCGAGATGGCGTTGGTGCCACTCGATGGCAACGGCTGGGTGGACGCCGCCAAACTGGCGCTGGTCCGACGTGATTTTTTTGTTGAAGAGTAGGCGGGCCACCATTTCAGGTTCCTCGGTCCTCTCGGTGCTCTCGTAGCTCTGAAGGAGGGCAACGCACGTGTCATCGCAGGATGTCTCGATGGCCAAGGTGAGGAGTTCTTTCTGGCGCTTGAACTGCGTGACATGTCCAAGAAGTCTGTTCTGTTCCTGCTTGTGCCGTGGCTCAGCCGGAACGCTCTGAACCTTGTTGAAATTGGCGATGTGCATGTTGGATGTTGATTCGGGTGTTGATACTTGAGTTAATGCTGGTGTTGATGTTGGCTCATGAGATGTGCTCATGGCTTTGGGGGAAGATGCTCGTCTTATACACCATGGCTGCTGTGGTCGCTCTTGTTGAACACGACTCGTCCCGAGCCTTCCTCTTACTGTCCATGCTCGAACTCCAGAACCGTGGAAAAGTCGTAGTTGCCTCATGTTGATTTTTTTCTATCGAGTCTTCTTTATTTGAAAGATTGAATAGGTAGGTAGGCAGTGGGTGAGTGTCCACCATGCGACACTTGCCAAATCGGGCTTCCGGCTGAGGAGCGACGATGGTGCTCACCTGAGAGTCAAACCGCGCTCACCTAACCTCCAAGTCGAAAGTCTCTAGTCAAGATCCCATGAGATACTACCCGGTATAGAAAAAGGTCACTTCCCGGCCGCAAGCGTTCATCCGCTTCAAGACCGCAGGATGTGTTGACGATGGAGTAACTTCAACCTGATGGGTTAATGGTGTTGTTGAGTTGAGAAACAAAAGCTAGGACACTCATTGGCAGCTGGCAACGGCCGCTGTCCAGCTGTCAGGATCAGGGGTGAACGCTCCTTCCCCTTTTCACTAGCTCTTGCATCAAAACATCAAAATTGCCAGTCAGCCAGTGTACATTTTGCCTTCTGGCTTGGAATGTTCATTAAGTTGTGTATACATAACTGAATTTACATCTGACACGGGTCGGTTTTTGTCGGTTAACTAATAATCTGCTTGAACGATTCTGTGGTATCTTGTGTCCGAGTGACTTCTCCTATCTCCCATACGAACATCTACCTATGTTCAACGCTTCTGGTATAGAGACGTGGTCTCTGATGAAAACTCGAAGAAAAGGAAAAAGTGAGAGATAACAATGAACCTTGAAAGCAATGATTTTGAACCCCCTGCGCCCGCCATGCATTTGTAGCTCGAAGCTCATCCACCAGGTCTGTATCCCATATGAGATCAAGCACCTCCTGCATTCAGCTTCACCCAGTTGGTATATCTGCACTGACACCCTCCGGTACCTCCATCCATCCCTCCAAAGCTCGGATCAAACGTCGCGCCGGGGTTGACCCAATCACCTGTCTGGTTCATGTTGTTCAGGATAAACTTGGTGTCATTCATTAAAATCTTGCCGCCCGCTCCGACCCCACGACTAAACGCAAACTTCCTTCCTGGGATTCCACCATGGGTATCCAGCGTGACTGTGATGGGGTATGGGAAAGTCCCCGGACGAGTGCTATTGTTGCTTGCAGCCCCACCGTTGGATTGCGACCCCAGCAGACGGGTGGCGTTGACCTGCCGCGTCCAGATTTCCACCTTGTATCGCGCAGAGAGCCAGGTGATGATGGTTTTGGAGTCAAAGGCCGTGGAGCCACCGACGCGGTCTGACGAGGCGTCACCGGTGAGGTAGACGCTCTTGTTGTAGTAGGTGTAGAAGCCGAAGTGCTCGGTCGGTAAACCGCGGTCAAAGAGGCGGAGAGGCTGTTGAGTAGGGAAGGGCATGAGGACGGCCGGAGCGCCGGTTCCGTCGGGATTCAGGACAGGCGGAATGAAGAAAAGATCGATGCCGCCGCTCTTGGATTGCCGCTCGTTTAGCTGATTGGAGGCAGAATCGGAGTCTTCGTCACGACGAGCGAGGGCATTGGGCCCAACAGAATCATCGAGAGTTCGTAGAATGCTGATGTAGAATGGAGTCGGCTCTCCAGCCTTATCCTGTGACACGATGCCGTCGGTTGTGTTTCCCAAAAAGTAAATATCTTGAAACTCGGGCGGTGATGGGCGCGGAATGAACCCAAGGCTCGGGGCTTGCTGGGTTTGACGACGCAAAAGGCTCTTAACGACAGAAATAAAGCCCATCGGCTCGCCGCCCGATTGTGGACGCTGTCCCCTCGTCTTGTTTGCTTCGGTACCATTAGTAACGGAGCTTTTGTTGCTCCCAGTCTGGGATGGCGAAGCAGCTGCTTCAGCATCTTGAGTGGGAATAGGCGTGGGGATTGCCTGGCCCGTGACATTCCACGCTTGTTGTGTGCTGTTGTCGTATTGGATCTGGATAATGAAGCTGGGCTGATCGGCAGCAAAGGGTTCCGCCTGTGCAGTTTGGTCTCTGGGCAGTGCACAACTCCAGAAGCGCGGGTCCTGAGCACATGATGTATCAGTGACAGAATCGGTGCCAATAACCGTGGAAATGCCCGTCGGGATCGGCGGGTAATCCGTGAGGTTAAGCCAAGGCGAATAAGGGGCGGGCTTGCCAGCCTTGGGACGCGACAAGACGACCCCGAGCGCCACAGCGAGCGCTATCAACCCGAGAGTGACAAGGAGGACGGCCAAACACCACCGCCTACGCTTCCTGCCTTCTCGGCCGGCCCGGCCAAAGCAGCCGCTTTCTGGAATACAGCCACGTCCTCTCCACATTCCACCGATCTTGCGCGCCACAGCTTCCTCCTTCTCGTTGCGGCGCCGTTTTTGCTCGACCTTCAGCCTTTGAGTAGCAGAGACGAAGGAAGCGGGTGCCCTGTTTGGGAAGTCTCCGTGATGAAACGCAGGTCTGACGGGAGGCGGCCTGGCAGGAACGTAGGGCAAATCGATCGCGCCTTGTGAGGTCATCGTCTGCGCGAGACCTGGAGACACTGGACCTGGGGAAGGTGGGTACATGGAGTTCAGCGGATGGTTGGAAGGAAACACGGCTCGGTATCGGACGTTCTCGACATTCTGGGCATTTCGGACGTTTTGGTTCCTCTTCGGGGGCGAGTACGGAGGAGGCAATTCAGCTGGAGTCGATTCGTTCTCCTCAATCAATATGCGCGCCTTCTCGGCATGGGATTGTGGCTGCGAAACCATCGGTACTGTTGTTGGCATCGCTGCTGCTGCTGGTAAGGAGGATGCTGTCGCCGTTGATGATGTCGCGAAGGGGTTGTAAGAAGAGGAAGAAGCCTCAACTTGCGAGACATCCTGAATAATAATCCTGGGTGGCCGATTTGCTTCCACGGCAATTCCCGAGGACCCCTGACCAAGGGTATTGTTGTTGGGAGACAAAGACCCATTGTTGCCAATCTTCCACCAGTCCTGTTTGTCATCCTCCTCTTGAATGCTGCTAACAGGGGTTCTTGACATTACCGGGCTTTGAGTGAATGGCGAAGTAATCTGATCCCACCAGCCTTGTTGTGACTGTACGGTTAATGTCGCAGATACGGGACTCTTTGCTTTGGTGAGAGACCTCTGTCGCACCGCCAAAGGACTTCCATCCTCTTCAAACAGAGTGACCGGAGTGGCCATGTCGTCATCATCGTCGCTGAAGTAGACCGTGGTAGTAACTCTTGGCGGGCTTGATTTTCCATATCCCTTTGGAGTGAGCAAATTTTCTTCATTGTCGCTGAAATAGAATTCTGTTGCCCCGGTATCTCTATACTTGTTGGGAACCGCAGGCACAGCCGGCACGGTGCCGGCACTGGGGCCTGCTATCCTGTACGAGCTGATGGTAAATTGGGAATCCGGAGTGTCTGGTGACCAGACTGAAACGGGCTGTTTTGCTGTGGGAGGCGGGGAGAAGTATCTGTCCAAGTCGACCGGTGTCACAACGACGGCAGTTTGTGGACTGATGACGACGTTTGAATCTGATGGCATGGCGAATCCGATCATGATGCCGCCAACACTTGGTGAAAGCTCGGCCACAGTAGGCGTGTCTACCGCTAGCCTATCCATCCTTCTCTCAATCGGAGTAGCTGAAGCTGGGCTGCTGCTCTTCTTCTTCCTTAGCCAAGCAAACGTGCCGATAGATTCGTCTGAAGCCATTCCTTCCAGTGCGTTTAGCGCAGCCGCGTCCACGAACTTTCCACTCCCGTCCCGCCCTTTTCCTTTGTTCAAGGCCTCCTGGTTGGCGAGCTGTTGTTGTAATTGCTGTTGCCTCAGTTTTGTCATGTCTGTGATTAACGTGATGCCAGCCTTGGCATTCTGTGCCTTTTGCCTCCGACTTGACTTTACACGCCTGATTCTCTGCATGGAAAGGCGAGCTGTCGAGGACGATATACGTTGTGTTGATGGTTTCGTCGTATAGTTGGTATTGTTGGTGTTGTAGGGGCTGCTGAAGGTTGGGGTAAGGGAAGGAAGCTCACCCTCCTCTTCCTCTCGAATCGGTGTGAATGGCTCATCGTCAAACCAGTCCTCCCATTCCTCCTTCCTATTGTTGACTGTAGGGTGAAATGAGGGACCCGGATGCGCCATCGGGCCGTTCATGTTGACAGCCATCGTGAATAATGTGGTGTAGCGTAAGTGGTTCGACTCATCAAAAGGAGTGTGAATGGTCGGGAAGCTCGCGGTAGACTCGGATGGCCAGCAAGCGAGTTGGTGAAGGAGAGATCAAGTTGGAGTCCTGTCCTGTCATCAAAAGACAAAAACACTTTCTCGGTCCCGAAGGTGTGAGACGAGTGAGTGTGCCATGTGTCTGCGGGTGGACAAGTTGGGTGGGCCAAAAAGATAAAACAATAGGAGGTGTGACTACCTATTCACAGGACCTGCCAGATACTGTCTGAATAAAATTCGAGATCGGACTGAATTAACGAAGGGGGAGTGGACAGAATGATTCGGATGAAAGACTAGAACGAATGGAAAATGGGTTCCCTCTCCATCCCGTGGCTGAGGCAGAACCGTAACAAGAAAAGACTGTCGAACCCGCGAACACACGTACATACACATAACACACACTTTGGTGATAGCAACCACCCGAAGCAAAAGAGAAAGAAGAAGGAGGAGGAGGAGGAGGAGGGCGGCCCAGTCAAGAAAAAGAGAGGCCATGTCTTTGGTCATAGCGGATTCCAGTCATTTCCTCCATGGTGCCAATTGTTACAGGGCATGCACCAGCAGACGCGTGAGTGGCCGGTCGTCTCATCTAAAACTGCGTCTCGTCGTTGAGCAAAGCGCCGTCGTGGAGAAGGTTTGGCGCAGCCGAGGAACGATGTGGTCTGGAATAAGCGCCGCCATGTTGTTTTGCTGGTGATGGATTGGCTGGAAGCTGATGGCCCTGGCAGCTCTTGGCATCTGTCTGTTGTACAGTCTGCCTCTCGTTGGTCAGCTTGTGTGGAGCTCAAGCCAAGCCACCGCCCGTGTCCGCCTGGGGTTCTTGGCGGCGGGAAGAAGAGAGAACATTTCCACTTCCTTTCCACTTCCTCCCCAATTATCATCAAGCACCTCCAGCCACCCAATGATTCCAGACCAGCAAGTCCATTTTCCAACCCCATTTTGTCGCTCACTACACTATAAACTACCTATGGGCCATCGCTGAAACACGCTAGAATATCACTCAGAGACGCGAGACCGCGTTTGACACTTGGGTTGACAAAGTTATTGACAGTCCAGAACCCCAACCTTTCAAGTGTGGGAACTTCCCGTCCGTCCTTTGGCTCGTTATCACCACGTACAACGCAGTACGCCCAAGGCACAGACGGGATGACATGATGAGGTTGCGGGTCTCTGTAAATCAATCTACTTGTGACTGCTATCCCCTACCGTGACATGTTGTTACGCTGAAGGTTGAGCCTAGCAACTTTACATATATCTAGGTAGTGACGGTAATATCTTGCTACCTAACAAGTGAGGTCGCACATTATCTTTCTTTTGAATACTGTAGTCGCTGTTTGCGGTTGCAGGTGGCTTCAGACCCTCATCCTCTTGGGGCCTCCTATAGGTCCGTTGTCTGTATACCCATCGAATATCACACTCATTTTCTATGACGGGTAGCTGTCTCTGTTTCCGCAACCAAGAAAGCGCAGAGGTAGCATATTTGGCATCGCGGCTTAGGAGAGGAGATTACTATCAAGTGCCTCCTTCTATCAATACGGTTCGGACCGTTAGATCGTGAAAAGGATTATCCATGGAAAGCCTCATTCTCTGTTAAAAGCTCCGGTGTGGTTGGGTTGGTACTTTGGAGATCTGGGTTGGATGAAACCACGAAATCCCTTGGTTCGCTGCACCGTTGGTCACACACAGAGTGAGCAACAAGCGGTCACCCTCCAACATCTACCATAGTGTACAGCATCTTGAAACCCATCATTGACTTGGGGCCTGCCAAGATTGCCAAGCATGATGGCGCTAGACCAAGCTTTTTCGCCAAGCTGCCAAGGTATTTCCCCTGCTTCAGACGTCATCTTCAACGACGAGGAGGAAACATCTAGAAATTCATCAGACGAACATCTGATCTTTTCGTGAATATTGGGTCGAGCTTAGAGTATCAAGACGTAGATTCTAAGTGGAGATTCGTATGCCAGGTTGGTCGTCACCACAGCAAGTATCCTCAACAATCAGACCGAGTACGTGTACACCTAATTCCCAATGGCAAACTGTAGGGCCGGCCTGAAGTTGACGCGATGAGGGATCACTCGGATCAAGGTTATACATCCTTTCGACGCTTCTCTTCATGTTGTTGCAGCAAGAAACAAGACATCACATCCGGTCGTAAGGCGGCCAATCTTCGACTTGTCATGACAAGAAACTGATTCAATTCAACCGCATGAACGAAGTTGACTACTGAGGGCACTCAGGCAGACCTCATCTCGGCCAGCGGCCTCTCCCTCTCAAGCCTGACCGAGCTCTTTGGAATCATTTCGCACATCTCACCTCTGCCGAGCTCGTCGGGCCCATGGCGCGGTAAGATCTCTAGCAGCAAGCGCACTCCTCTGAACAGCAGCAGCAGCTGCACTCCTCGACGAAGCCGCCGCGCAATGTTCCTTCGCTCGCCATCTCGGGCTGTGGCTCAGTTGTCTGAGTTACGATCACAGTCTTTGGTTAGTCTTATGATCCAACGTTTTCCAGTGTGTGGATGCTCAAATTGGCGAGGATTTGACCTACAGGCTGCTGGGAGATGATGGCGTCCTGTGGGGGCACCATCTCCATTGTTTGTTGCGGCTGGGGAACGTTGTCGGTGGAAGAGGGCATTTTGAATGATTGTAGGTCTATCGCGGTGGGGCAGAAGACGGTAGTAGATCTAAAACTGGCGCTTGATCTCTCTTGACTCGGTGTTTTAATGGACGTAGGTGTTTTTAGGCTGTTAAGTCGGTGTAAATGTATGAGAGACAGGAAACGGAAGAGAGCAAGTAGGAATGAACCAGATGAGGAGTTATGGCAATTTATTCGGGCCCCGCAAATTGCGCTGACGCGTAAGAACGAATAAGGTGTGTAAACCAACTTGCATTCTGACCTGGAGTTTCGAATGGCATTGGTCGCTGGCTACCTCCCTGCCCTGACTTGTCGGATGGTCGGCGGGTCGGCTGACACGACATCGTATCGTCGGTGATGTGGGCAGGAGCAATCCAACCACAGGCAAATACTATTCCCGGACTCTTCCGTTGGGACAAAAGCGCTATCGGCTTATGCGCTACCTTCCCGATTTCTATAGTCAAGGGATATTCGGATCTCTTCCTTTTATGTATGTAGTCCGAACTCCGAAGCGTTTGCCCAAAATCGGCTACGCTATGACCTCAATGTCACGAATCACCAGCTAGCTGTCTAGAAGTTTGCTATGACCAGGGGCAAGTGTAGTCGTAAGTACCGTTTTCTGCCAACAGAACTGTTCGCTTAAGTATTCGTACACCTTGAGAGTGGATCGGCTTTGCTGCCTGCTTCAATTGGAAACGTTACCTGAAACATTCACATTATCTACATCACAAGTTTTGTCTGCGACATTCAACGGTCAAACATATGCAGAATTGAAACAATAGAGGATGGTTCGTCGGCGACAGGAATCTGTCACACACGTTACTATGTCATGACTTACAAGCATTCTGACGAGTTTTATGGGCGGGATGATCCAGCACTGAATCTCTTGAGCTCACAAGGTCCCAAACGGGTGGCTCAACTTCCAGCGAGCTCTAGTTAAGTATAGTGTTGTCACCGAGTGAAGTCGCGTTGAAGATGGGAATGGCGAGTACTACTTCAACCTAAGCATTTGTAGGATCTCAATGTCCAAGACTAATCTGCATCCAGTGAGGTACGAGCTACTCCAACTTATTTACTTCATTGATTTAGGCGGAAAAGGAGGTCTCTTGGAATAGAAAAGCTACCTAGCTAATTTTCAGGTGGAACAAAATGCAAAGTGTGTTTGTGGAAACAGGTATGTAGAGCCAAGTGGCTGGCCGTGAGCCATAGTGCTAACGAGCTTGGGGGTTGCTTTGTGAAGGCTGCCATACGAGCTGCTAAAGTGGAAGTCTAGTGCGTGCGGGGTTTTGTATTCGTCCCGCCCGCGAAAGGCACTGACACCGAACTCGGTTTTCTTTTTTTTTTTTTTTTTTTTTTTTTTTTTTTTTTTTTTTTTTTTTTTTTTTTCCCTCCAATCCCCCCCCCCCGAAGGGGTACATAAAAAGATGTCTTGGTCCCATTGTGAAAACCATATGAAAATTTCCAGTTTATTCATTGAAAAACTTTTGTCTTTGGACAGGAGGAACCTGTATTTGCCCGCGCTAACGAACCTTTCTAAGGGGGGGAAATACATACCTCTAGAATACAACTACAGGTTCCTCCTGTCCAAAGACAAGACGTTTTTCAATGAATCAACTGGAAATTATCATATGGCTTTCACAATGCGACCAAGACATTGAAAAACGTCTTGTCTTTGGACAGGAGGAACCTGTAGTTGTATTCTAGAGGTATGTATTTCCCCCCCTTAGAAAGGTTCGTTAGCGCGGGACTTTACAACACACTCCTCGTAATCAACCACCGTTCCACCACTTCTCATGTGCAAGAAGTTGGTATCAACTACTAGTTGCGTTTTGGAGGCTTTACACACTCTACTTCATTTTCCATATTGAATGTCCTTGTCCCGTTGTTTTTCTGTAAGACTTTGTAGACCCTGTCACAAGAACCGCGCTAACAAACCTTTACGGATTGTATGTTGTCGAGTCTGCTGTATCAATAGATGGCGGCGGTTGATCTTGGTGGCTTTGATCTAATTGATATTGAAGAAGACTTGCATCATGGATATTGAAGATGGACATGTGTTCTTCCACATCCATTATGTGTGTTTGACAAACAAACTGTCCAACCATCAGGGCGGCTAGGCCATAAGCTTGGCTTCCTCTTATTGCAGGGGCTGAAGACTATGATCAGTGTTTTGAAGCTTCTAGCAAAGATTGCCACCTCCCGAGTAGCTCCAGCGTCCTCTCATTCAAGACCAGGACACCTGGGGTGGTCAAGAAAAGGAGGATCGTCAGGAATCACTCCGCCAGTTGATCCAGTTTATCGTGGGGCCCCTACGAGAGTACGTCTAGTTGGTTTGCCATCTCCGTTGATAATGCTTAAAGTTTGGTAACCGATGGTAGGTTACCAGCGATGTTCTGCTACACGCCACCACAGTAAATCAAAGGTTCATGGGTACCGTAGCCATCCTCGATATGAGTTGACATCTGGAGGTCGAGATGCCATTTCTGCCATAGGTTACCACCTATCATCCAGAAAATGTATCGTCATTAGCATCATCTTAGGTAGGGATCGAGATGGCGTGCCGTGGGGTACCCCATAGTCGTTCATTAAGTGCAGACCCCCATGACCTCTATCTCCGTTGAGGACCAGGTTTGTGCGGGTGCTAGAATGGTGAAACAACGGAGGGGAGACAAGGAGATTTGACCCCCTTTAAATTGCGAACATCACCACATCACCCGCAACATTATTCGGCTCTGGCTTAGACAAGGGGTAAAAGAATCGCCCAGTTCGCCCAGCGAACCGACTCCGCGTCAGTCTTCCGTAGCGCCGGATCAGAGCCAAGAGATAACCGTCTTAAGCAGGGGGGTTGGTCAATTAGCTTTCTGTTGCGCAATCGGCCGAAGACTGCAAGCCAAAACATGTTTGTACTTTGTCCCACATCCGGTAATTTTTCTGTAACTAGTGCCCTTGGCCGGGCTGAGAAGGGGATTTTGAAAGAGAAGAAAAAAATTCAGTCGACAAAACGGTTTGGGGAGAAGTTGGAGGTCTCCCTCAAATTCCCCAAGTTGCTGCCCCCAAGCGCTTAATGAGTTGGAGATTGGAACGTTGTCATTGGCTCCTGCGTTCTGTTGCAGAGCCGTCAGGTACACAGTACCTGACTACAGACCCAGGATTGTCAAGAAAAAAAAAGCCGAGGGTTGAAGGGGTCCAATGCCCGATGCGCCTGTACTGCCCGCCAGTACCGTGAAGGCTGCAAGGCACCCAACGAGAGCAAGTCAAGTCCACGCCCGACATCCCTGTTCAACATTAGCGTCTGCTCCCCCTTTCCATGCTTTGGAAAATTTAAGCCTAAAGACGGTGAAGGCATTCAGGAAAAGGATTGGGCATTCGGCGAGCTGTTATCAGAACGTGTTAAGGATTCCCGCTCTAGGTGAAATTGCATGCCATCACCGTCCAGGTGTCGCAATTAGTCGCAACCACCCTGGACCGTAGTGTACTGTGTAGAGTCCAAGAAGTAGACCGGGGTCGCAGTGAACAGGCCCTGGGTGGTGCCCTGCATGTGTCGGGGCAATCTTGGCGTGGGTAGCTGTTGAAAAGTTGGCCGCTAAAAAGAGAAAAAAAATGTTGTTGACGGAGAAAGCCCCTAGAATATCTGGGGACGGCCGGGGGTCGCGATGAAGTTGGGGAGGATGGAAGGTTTAAACACGTTGGAAAAGTTCTTGGCTTGTTCGCTCGCTTGTCCACGCTGGCCATTTAGTGGACGGGCAGGGCTGTTCTTCATCTGAAATGATTTTTAGCCCACGGCCACTGGAATTCTTCCATAGCTGAAACGGTCAAGAGATTCACTCTCCTAGTGAAACAATCTGCGTTGAGTTGTCTCTGAAGATCTCGTTTGTTACTTCTTCTTCCCGTCCACCAAGACACGCATAATCCAAGCAACCGTTAGGTAATCGAGCGCGGCGAGCGATCCACTGAACGACATCTGCCCGGCATACAGCCGAAGGGAATCCGGGCATCTTCAAGCAACAGCTGGCTGGGTTCAAGGTTGGCATATCGTGTCCAGGTGCCGCTTCTGCAGCACCCGTCTACCATCCAGAGCCACCACAGGCGCCGGGTCTCTTCCTCCAACAGCAGCCTGCGCGCCCTGCACCCCAACCCGAAACTCGGACGTCTCCAAGACACACCGGGTCCTTGGTCCCCTTTGTCCCATCCCCATCCGTCCACATCCCCTTCTTGGACACCCAGATCCTCGGTTGTACCGCACGAGCACATTCAATATTCGACAGTACACGCAGTCTGCCTTCTTTGGGTAGAGCCTAACTACCACGGACACCCATCCGACCGTACGCAGCGCAGCCCCCAAGGCCAGCCAGCCCACCGTAACCACCAACCGCTACGTACCGACGTACCGTATCTCGAGCCAGGCGGCCCTCCGTTGCAACGTGGATTCAGCCGTCACTTTGTCAGTCCGTCCGTCAGCCTCTGGCTTGGGCCCTTGAGCCTCCACGGCAAGGAAGCCCAGCTACCCTACACCCCTGCGCGATATCACCAGAGGGCCCATAGTGCCACCTGGTGAAGTCGCAAATCCGCAAAGCTGGCGACCCTTTCCCCCAACGGCAACGGGACATCGTCCTCCTACAGCGACCCTCCGGCCCGCTCCCATCACCGAAGGCGCTCGTCCGCCGTTAACCCTCCCAGCGAACTCCGATTGGACAATCGCCGATCTCCTTCGGGCCTCCTCCTTGGGGTTGAGCCCCATAACGGCAACTACGACCCCAACAGCCTCTCGCCCATCCCGGGTACGTGTTCTTCCTTTTGTCCAAGCTTTGAAGGGGTCCCTGTTGTCCTTTTGCCCTGTCCCACGCCCGTGACTGCCACCAGCGGTCTCACGGCCGCCGTCTCACTTTCACCCGTCTGGCCGCTGGGCACTTGTCCGATGTCATCTGCGTGTTACTGACTGTCGCTTGGTCCTTCCGTCTGCTCTAGGCACCCCGATCACTGCAATGTCGCTGTCCCGCAGTCCTTCTCCCGTTCCCGGTGGTGGCTGGGCAAGTCCAGGCCTTACAAACAACCTCAGCCCGAGCGGTCGATCGAGTCCTACCAAGGCCTACGCCGGATCCAACGGGACGCCCGTCATGTGGGAAAGGCAAAAA